TCGACGTGCCCACTTCTGGTCTAAGGCTTAGGGTTTGGCTACGATCTGTTTAAAGGGAGGGAGGGGCCAATCCCCAGTTGCATCGATGGCAGGTTTTTCATTAATAAATCTTTGCGGTGCCCACTCCACCCATACGACTTTGTCGCACTCTCCAGCTGTAGCTGAGATGATTAGATATGCTGGGCACACGCCATACGTGCACATTTCACGTACACATTCCGTTTAATGGGCAAATTACGAGTTGGCCTGGCAACACAGACCCGGCCCGGCCCGGCCGGAAGTACAGTTGCCACTAGGAAGTAATTAGAACTAGAGCCAGAGTTGTCGCCTTTTTTCTTTCTCTCTCTCTCTCTCTCTCTCTCTGTGTATTCTTATCGCTTGTACTTGGCTTCTTTTTTGGAGTATTCTTTTCTGGGTTTGTGGCTGTTGTATCTCTCAGATACACAGATACACGCCTACCGACATAACACGATGTTGTTAATTGAAAACTGATAACTGTCTCTCTGTTTCTTTGCTCCTCTGTTCATCTGGCTGTTCTTTTTCGCCGAAACTGAACTTCTGCTTCTGCTTCTGTTTCTGTTTCTGTTTCATTTTAGTAGTGCCTCCCTTTTTGTTTTCTTGTTTTTAATTGTCGTTATGTTATGTATGCGTGTCCCCATATCGATTCGCGATTCTCCATTCTACAGCTGTGTATCTATGTACGTATCTATATCGGTATTCTCCGCACCGCCTGTGGCCTCTGTGTTTGTGTAGATATCTCTAATTAGTTTCCAATTCAATTTGCATTTCTCGTTTGTTATGTTTCCCCCCGTGCGCCACGTATCCCCAGTAATTAATCGTCTTAAATTATGACATTTTTAAGTGTTCTGGAATTGAATGACGACTAAAACCAATGAAGTCTCTGAATATATCGATGATGATTGGCATTGCTTTGCTTTTTGCAGGGTTTGCCCGCCTCTCCACATTGTTTAACTGTCGAGTTCTTTATGTTCGAGAATGCGAGCTTTCTTATAGGTAGGGTAGGGTTCGTTTCTCGCTGACTTATGATCGCTTTCAGGGTCGTGTCTTGGGTGAATGATAAAGAATGATAGAAATATAAAGTCTCAGTTGCTCGGGAATTGCAATAAACAACATACATATTTCGAGTGCCTGATAATACTTGAAATGTTACTTGTATTGCCCAAAATAACAGGTGACACTCGTGAGTAATATTCACACGAGCATGCAGTGGAATATCTCGTATTCGAAACTGTTTTGTTTTCAACTCGTACTTCCCCCAAGGCTATGGCACAGTACACCATATGGCACCTTTCCCAGACAATTCTCTGTCACTCGAAAATCCCATCTCCATCACCCTACACCCGCCCTATCTGAATGTTTGTATGTTGCTGCCAGAGATATCTGGCCCTGCGACCACCTCTTCTGAGTCATTAAGATAAGCAATTTTGTGTGTCAATTTGTCAACTCCAAAACGAAACAGAAATAAGGCTTTCGGATTCCGGATCAAAGCCAAGAACCGACAAGCACTTGAATACAAATAAAATCTATAAGGAATGTACACACAAATTATTTGTACACAAATATTTAATTACGCTACTAATTGCCAGTGACGATACAATCCACTACAGCAGCAACAGCAGCAGCACACTCCAACAGTCCACGAGGTCAAGATACTTTGTCTTCCAGCAAGAGCGAGGGGGAAGATACAGATACTCCGCCCCTCCCCTCAGCCAGCAGATGTTGTGCAATGTTTTTGGTTGCCACCATATCGCGAGTGGATCACAAGTGGCTTTATTTCACTTTTTCCATTCAAGGCGTTGGGGACTTGACTTTCACAGAAATTGCAATGATCTCAGAGCCCTGCGTTCAATATCAGTTTATAGATATTTATGACCTGTTATATATAATGTATCTCAGACTGCGATTGCGTGTCGCTCTGGCTGTCTGTCTGTGTGGGGGTGGAGCGACCATGACGTCACTGCTGCAAAAGTGAAACAAGTTGGCCTTTGTCAGCAAATCATTTAAATGACATTACACGCAAATAAAACTAAACAACAAGCGAATAACGAATACACGAATACACGAATACAAATCCGACAATGAGTGTGAGTGTGGGACGCCCACAACAGCTGGGGAAACCGGTTTGCTGATATGATGGGTCGGGACACACACAGAGCAAAGTAACTACTGAATCTCCTCCAGACTACAGTCACTGGGTCACAACTTCCACTTCCACAACCACAATGTAGGGTTGCCGAGGGGCACCCTTGAGGTGAAGTGGAGCTTACACGAATATTCCATATTACATGTTTATGTTTTGGCACCTTTGTTTCCACAGTGCTCAGTAGGGCAGAGGAAGGCCTGACGCCATATCCCCCTATACACTTTTTAAGGAGCTCTTTCTGTTTTATGAATAGCCTGCTTAGACTTTTTTACAAGCGTTCAAAGAGCAAAGAGTCTCTTCATTTAACAGAACTTTAGGTCTTATAATTTATCTGATACATTTGATATAGCTGAATCACCGAATGTTAAGCGTATTTGCAGTTTCCCTTGGCCACTTTTTGAATGTTTTCTTAGTGGTTGTAGGGAGGTCCCGTACCACACAGGTCCACTCATCCGACATTCCCGTTGTATTTACTTTGTGACTGTTCACAAAAGTATCGACTAAATTCCACATTGACATATTTCTCTTTTGTTTTGGGATCTTTCGCAATACAATATGCAAAAAGTGAATGCCAGAGATAAGGTCTCCATCAGCAGAGGCCAGACCGCATGATGGTGTGGGGAGTTGTGGTGTGCTGTGGTGGAAACGACGCCCTCTGCCACTGCAATTGCCGGCATTCCGCTGCCAAACGGGAAATTGTCTGGCATCAGAGCATAGACTCAGGGGCGGAGCTACTTAGGCCTGAGACGGATGTTGGTGCCTCGGGGACAGGCGGCATTCCGCAAGCTATGGGCGTAAGCGGCGTGGGCAGCGAGCGGTTTAGTAACAGTTAAGAGCCCCACACTCCACTCCATTCCACCCCACTCCACGAGTGCTGCAAACCCCTTCCGAATGTATTGAAATCGGATTCGGAAACCCTTTGGTTTCGGAATGGAAAACTTTGATTGACACGCAAATGGCGTGTCAGAAGTCCATTCAAAGTGCCATAAGCAATCAACTGGCAATTAAAAGCCTGCCCCATTCCGCACCCCATTAGACGAGATCTGCTTAACGATGTGCGATTTGCAATTACTAATTAAAACAACGATAAAACAGAAAGAAAGTATAGCTTTAAGGATTCTCCATACCATGTTAAACATCTGCTCAAAATCATAATACCCAACGGAAATGCAACAACAACAGCAAAATGGGGTGAAAAATACGCCTTTAATTCGCTTGCACATATCGATTGTCTTGAGAGCGTAGTGCCCCACTTGAGGAAGTGGCCTGTCAGATAGGAGGGGGCTGGATTATCTAGATACAAGAATCACTCGACTGCGACTGCCACTGCGACCGAGAGATGCAAATAATTGAAGGCGTAACACACACACACACACACACATACTGTCTACCCATGCACGTTTTGGTGTGTGTGTGTGTTGTGTGGCTGAGAGCCGAAAAAAAGCAAAGCTTTGGTTTGGTCGCATTAAGCCTACGCCAAAAAATCCGATACTCATTTATGGACACAACTGTGGTGGTGCGGAGCTTAGTCACACTCCATTCCCAGGCCTGACTCACGCCCCGATGATCGAATATGAGTTTCATGTGTAATCCACTCATCTTGAGACTCCTCTTTGGACTCCCTTCGCTCTTCATCACTTCCGTTAGAAATGAAACGGAATGAAGCTGGAACAGCTGTTTACCTGTCGGCTCCGCTGGGCCCCAGCTGCAGCTTTACTTCCAGCTGAAATTCAACTTTCCATTTTCATAACGAGATTTGTGATTGCCGCCCGCCGCAACAAAACCCACCCCAAAGCCAACTGCATCTTTAAAGCTCGCTCTCTCACGCAACTCTCAGCTGATCTGCTCACTCTCTTGCTCTTTGAGCGTCGAAAACTCACTCAATGTCAGCCCTGCGCTCTCTCTCTCTCTCTATCTACTCTACTCTACCTCTCTTTGGCGCTCTCTAATCTTTTACATTTTTATGGATTCTTTTACTATTTTTACACATAAATATTTGAGCCCCGGTCGCTGCTCTTTTACTTCTTCTTTTAATGGTTTTTGTTTATATGAAGAAAACTGCAATTTGTTTACAACTGTGGGGATATTTCCTTGGTGCTCTTGTTTTTTGCCTGTGGCTCACTCAGCTGAGTTAATAAACCACAAGAAAAGACCGCAGCCAAATTAGGGCTTTCTGTTTATTAACGGCCATGACCATTAGCGGTTTGTCTTTTTGGTCGACGAGCCCACATGTCATGTCCGTCTAAGCGGCTTCCTCTGGCCCGCAGAAACCACAACGAACCACTCACACGACACACTCGGGGCACGCTCGTACGCACACAAACACTCGTACCAAATATGAGGAATTTCTTTCCATTTTGCACACTCAATGACAGTTTTGGTAATTCATTCAGCCCCACAGAGTGAAGCTGCTGCTTTACTCAAACTCGGAGTGGTAGAGAGAAGGAGAGAGTGAGACCCGATCGTGGGGTGCCTCTTTGCCGTTCGTTCGTTCTCGCGCGCGCTCTCTTCCCACACAAGCGGCTGCCACGAGCAATTTTACAAGGTGGTCTCGTCGCTAGCCGAATCGTTGGTTTTAAGTCACTTATTTTTCTGAGCATGAAGCTGGCTTGTTGAAAATGACTTTTCAGTTTTTGCAGCGAGAAAACTACTATGCTCTTCTGACGTTACACTCACACTTCCTATGCAGAACCCTCTTATAAACAGCACTTATAAACAGCATAATTAGTAGACTACTTTGTGGCGACGAGACCACCTCGTATAGTTGCTTCTTGGCCACGAGTACACCTGCCTCAATCAGCTCAACGTTTGCTCTCTTGAGCGCATTCCACTTTCAGCAGCGATACCGAGCGGTTGGTGTCTCGCAATAACGAACAAACAAAAAATTATAAAAATTGTGTGCCTTCTAGTGAATCTAGTGAATGTGAATGTGTGTGTGTAAATTTGTAAACGCACACACGCATCAGCACCGCCAGCCGTTTGTCTAACTTGGCCCTAAACGTGAGCAAAAGTGGCAGAAATCGAAGAAAACTACTTAGTTTTCTCCGTCTTTCTCTCTCCCTCTCAGACCGCGCGTGTGTGTGAGAACTCTGTGCAAAAAGAAATGTGGAAATGTGGCTTATTAATTCACAATTACGAATGAATTGAATTATTGAACAACACTTGTAGAGAAACCAGTGTTTATCTTTAGTGGAAAATACAGAAATACAAAAACTACAACCACACACTATAAAAATAACTGAATGGCTAAATTGAGTGACTGACGCTTATCGTCTTAAAAAACGAGAAGTGGAATTCCTTTACGGCTGGGAATTCGGAATGGAAATGCAAACCAGAATGTGGATATCCAGTGCGAGTGCGAGTGCGAGTGGAAACAGGGCTGTAAGAGGCCAACGCCAGTCTGTCCTTTCCAGCAGCAGCAGCTGTGTTGCATTTTTTAAATATTTGCCTGAATCAAACACACTGAAAAATCCCATCCCCCGAAATCCAGAGGCACTCCGTCCAAGAAGTTTCAACCTCAACTTCTTTTGTTTTTTTTTAGTTGTGGTTCTTTTTTGCCATTTTGTTGTTGTTGGTGTTTGGATGGCGGCTGGCTTTTCATTCAATAACCAGTTTTGGTGTCTTTTTGGTGAGCTTGAATTGCTCTTTAGGGGCGATCCGGGTCTCTTGCTTTTGATCGCTGCTGCACGCACAAAAAATAACAGAAATTATGTAGTAGGTTTGTGTTTGATTTGGTGTTTTCCTTTTGGAACTGTCGGAGTCAAAGAAAGGGAGTTATTCGTAGCCAGAGAGACAAATTAGTCATGCCAAACGCATGCACAGGTCGTGCCACGATCTCTCTGCCTGTTCTCTCTCAACCTCTCCCTCTCCATCGTTATTTGTACCTGTAGTTCTCACATAGTTTTCTCAGAACAGACACATGCCAGGCATAGTTCTAGCTCGCTCTTTGGCTTAGCTTAAAACGAGTGAAAGAGAGTGAGGGAAGGCAGCAAAAGCAAATGCAACATGTTCCCGCATAACTGTGCCAGCCAGTGTTGGGCAATTCAATGGGAACAGGCACAGACAACAAAAACAACAGCAACAACAACAAAAGCCCAAGTTCAAAAAAGTGCCAGAGAAATATTTTCCATGAATTTATTGTGTGAAATTTTGCATGTGAATGGAAAACTGCACACACGGAACCAGCAGAAACGGCAGCTGCAGCAGCAGCAGCAGCAAAAACAAACAATAACAAAATACGAGTGAAAATGATTAAGTGAAAGATGTAAAAACTGGAAAAACTTTAGAAGGGGCGGGCGGGTGTGTAGACAGAAATCATCGAATATGTGGGCAGAAAGAAAGTGAAAGACTACAGAAAAACTAAAACTAAACCTATGCCCATGCCCATGCCCAACAAAAATTAGTTAAAAGTTCCACGCCAAATGAGAAACAACATTTCGTTTCGTTTGTCCCTTAAAAATGCAAAATTTGCATAAGTAAATTGCAAAACTAAAACAGAAGATGAGAAAACAATAAACAAGAAAAGTCTGAATGAAAAATGAGCGCACGAAATGAAATGTGTCTTCCCAGAGATATTACTATATATACTATAGGCACTATATATAAAGGTGTGCGTATCTAATCAGAGCAACAAACCGTCTCCTGGGCCCGCAGCTGCCACATTCATTTATTTATATTCATTCGCCGAAGAAAGCAAACTCCACAGAAACACCCAGAGAAATGGGGAAGGCAGCAGCAGAAGACCATTTGGCCAAAAACCCCAAATTGAACTTCACATTTGTCATTTGTTGGGAAAGGAATGCCAAAAGAGAGGCGAGCAGTGAATCAAGTGGCAGCTCTTACTCGAGCTTTTGTTTCTTTTCAATTGCAATTTTGATCGCGCCCTTCTTCTGATCGTTTCTCTATTGTATCCGACAGATACACATAGTGTACATGTGTAGCTGTGGCCCCAGCTCAGAGACAGTTCAAGAGCCCCTTTGGCTTTTGGCGACAAAATGCACCTCTCTGTGTGTTTCTCTGTATCCGACAGATACATTTCGCTCAGCATGTTTTCTTGTCTTTTTTTTTGTTTCTCTTGGCCTTTGGCCAATTGGAACAGAATGCCGGCAAACGCCAAGACATCATAGTGGGGGATATACATACAATATGGTAGATAAATAGTTTTATAGAGAAACACTTCCTCAAGCGGCAACCGGCGACAACCGGCGACAACTTTTACTTCATTTTAGTCTTTTTGTTGTACTCGCACTCGTCTCGAGAGATCTATCGCAAATTGCATCTCATTTGCCTTCAGCTATGCTGATGATTTCACGTTCAAGTACGCCAAGCGTTTCGTCTGAATCATCGCCGCTCGTTAAATTATATATACGTAGAAGGTACTGAAATACTCCAACTCCGCAGATAAACCAGAGTCCCCCGTCCATCCATTCCAAGCGTTTGTCAATTGCGGGCAATAAAAATAAAATCCCAAAGTGCCATCCGAAGAAGAAATACAAGAAATCCATCCACAGAGAGCAAAGCAAAACAGACAGAAATAAAAACTCCGAAACGTGCTAAAAATTTATAAATACCCAAATACAAAAAAAAAAAGTGTCCGAGGGAAAGTCTGTAGTTCGCTCTTGATGTTGTGCCACCCACAAGATGACATCGCATTCCTACTATAAAGATCGCCTGGGCTTCGATCCCAATGAGCAGCAGCATCAGCAGCAGCAGCAGCTTGCACATCAGCAGAGCACCAACTCGATGAAGCGGAGCAGCTCGCGGCAGACGTCGCACCATCAGAGCTACCACCATGCAACGAGCAGCAGCCAGTCTCCGGCCCGAATCTCTGTGTCGCCCGGTGGTGGCAACAATGGCAGCTTGGACTTCCATCAGACGCAGCGGGAGCAGCGCGATCGGGAGATCTACAGCAGTAGCAGCAACAACAACAACAACAGTCATCATCATCATCATCAACATCAACATCATCACCGATCCTCGGTGGGTAGTGCAGCAGCAGGAGGAGTATCGGCAGCCTCTCCGTTGTACGAGGGAAGTCCGGCGGCACCGAAGAAGGCCAAGCACTCGTCGACGCAGTCACAGCCGCAGGGCGGATATGAGGATGCCCTCACCCAGTTCAAAGGTAGCATGTCCATTTGGGATCATTTTATTGAAGATTGGGACATAATGCGTAAGTCGGCAAAAAGATAGTTCTCGGCGGGACTCGTTTCCGTTTCCTTCAAAGGCATGATCCAGTTTCGTTGGTTCGTTTCGTTTCGTTTCGTTTGGTTAAATATCTGTTCCAGCACCTCTCCCTTTGTTAAAAGCTACAAATCTAACCAGCAGAGAAGACTATTTTGTCTGTAAGCCGCTTAATTTAACAATCCAAAAGATGGTCCAAACGATTTATTATTCATTTCTCGAGCGGAAATCATTTGCATTTTGAAAACTGTTTGTCTGCTGTGTTCTAGGCATGTTTTGTGTCTTAAGCAGAATTCCAATTATGATTCTGTGTCGGTTGCTATATTTTTTTTTGCGCTGCGCTTAGCTTAACTAACACGAAAACATGTTTTTAACCCCTCACACAATTATGACGGAAGTTTTGCAAGTTGGAAGCGAATTATAAAGGGTCAAGGTCATGGCAGCTTCAGCTACTAAAACTAAAACAGCTACTAGCTAAAACAAAAGTCACAGGGCATTTAAATATAATTCTCAAGTTATTTCAGTGGCGGAATATACATAACTTATAGGTCGCACTACATTCTACATCTATCTTGCCTATAATAATTCGAATTTGTGGAAGGATTGACATAATTTACATATGTAAAAGTCTTCCGTGGGCGCTGCGATGGGGCTGCATTTTCGGACATTCTCTTTTTATTTCCTTTTTTAGCATGTGCATTCGTTCAACCCAAACCAAATCAGGGAAGAATGCAAGTTTCTGTATCGAGTATATTTTGCGAAAATGCACTGCACATTCACCAGGGATCTTCAGGGTCATGGGCCCCTGTCTCCATGGCTTTTGGCTAACCAACAATGATATTAATTATTCTAAAATATACTATATATTCCGTCACTCACAAAGCTGTTGACACTTCTTGGGCAAACAAACCCACGATGATCGCAGACCGACCACCACACAGAAACACCTTTCTTGGCACATCAAACGGTGTTCAAATAAAAGGGTCCCGTCACCCGTCACCCAGGCCCTGACCTTGACGAGGGCAGCCTTTTCGCCAGCAAAGCACCCCAAAAGTGTTTGATTAACAGAGGTTCAGTTGGGAATCAGAAATAGAGAAGAAGAAAACAAACGTTGTTAATGTGTACATCAAATATACATACATATTTGTGGAAAACTGGTTAGAGTGGGGGCCTAGTCTGGGCTGGTTTGTAGGTGATGAGGTTTCTCTGTGGCGATCATCATCATCATCATCAGCGGTCATCCGAAGACGACTATTTTGCCAAAATGAACAGTAAGAATTCCACGAATTTCAAACCCAAACGAACTCATTTGCCTTTCAAAGCGATCTTGCAGTTTATTGACTTCATGAGTGGTTTTTGTGTATAGTTTTGTTTTTTCCAATACTAAATAATTATTCAGACTAATTTGTTGGCGCCGTTGGCGCTGGGAATTTGTCATAGATACGATCGGAATTTTGGTTACTGCATTCCCTCACTCCCTCATCACTATTTCTGTCAGTCTCTGAGTTCATAGTTTATATCGGGCAAATCGTTGGAATCATTGGAATCGTTGGTGTTTCTTATCATTGTTGATTGCAAATGGTCAAAACACCGAACGAACGTCCTTCACTGAAAAAAAACTGAACATTTTATTGTGCATTGTGTGCGTGGGACATATCTTTAAGAGTGCTAATCAATGACAGCGGCTAAATGCAAAAATAAACATAAACAAATATCAAATAAGCCACTCTTAATGTTTCCAGCAACTAAACCAAAAGAGAGAGGAGGAATCGTTAGATACCCTATCCCATGCTATGTTCATAAAGAGAAGTCTGTTCGTATGTGCTCGTATTAGTCCTGTGCCAACAACTGCTTAATCGACTGCCCTGTTGATACTCAGGGCTCAAGAGTATTCCAGTTCATGGCAAACACCTTTGAGAACAATTTTACACTCGGTTAGAGTATAACTAAGACAACCTAACGAACGTTTAATCGTCGAAAACGAATCCAACTTAGAACGTGACATCATCACGCGCTCTTCAAAACACGCACACACACGCACACACAGAAGAAACTCCGATAGCGTTCTATATCTGTGTGTGTGTGTGTGTGAAGTCGAACACCTTTGCACAACAATAACAACAATTTGCTGTGAATATTTATGAACGTTTTTTTCTGCTGTTGCTATTATTGTTATTGGCCAGAAGATAAAAGAGCTGCCCGATTACGATTCCAGTCTGAATGCAATCGTGCAGAAATATTTTCACTGAAAGAAAAAGATCCATTAATGAATGGTGGGAAGGTAGAAAAGGTCCAAGAGAGAGAGAGACAGTGTTAGGGAGAGGGGGAAGGGGAAGGAGGTGGAATGAATGCGCCTGAATGGAAAATTGCAAACCGATGAGTCAGAGCTGGAAGGAACATGTTTAATCTTCAGCTCTGACTCAAGTTCGTTCTTCGGCACGAGAGCGAGAGAGAGAGAGAGAGAGAGAGGGATCTCTAGTTGCAAAAAGAGTACAGGAAGTGTGTTACCTATAAAAAGCATCCGGAACTTAGTATGCGGAATAAATATTTGTACCGCACCTGTTTCAATCGAGATCTTCGACTGAAGTTCCTCCTCTGATTATAATGTGATTTGGCAGAGTTCGCTTTCCATCAATCTTAAATATTCGATCCATCACCAAGTGCTACATACAAATATACACCCCTATATATGCAGCTGTTCTTATCGCCTGGACGCCTATTTCGTGTTTCTAAATTTTAGACAGTGATTTCCCGACTAGACTCGTCGACGCCAAGCTAAAATCATTTGCTTTGAATTAATGTATTAAATGTTGGCCCGTAATTGCTTTACTTATTACTATATGAACTTAACCCATTTAACAATTCCTTTGCTGCTTCTCTAACATTATTTCAAGGGCATTTCTGCTTCGACCCTTTTCATATACAGAGGCAAAAGAGAGAGAGAGAGTCAAAGAGAGTAAGCGACAGTCAAACAGGTTGTTGTTTCACTCGTTTAATCGGTCTCTCTCTCTCGCCCACAGTTGCTCTCTCTACCTCCCTCTCCCCGGCAGTTGTTTTCATCTTTTGTCGTTTTTGTTTTGCTTTTGAGCTTCTGCCTCTCAAAGTTGAGGCGCTTTTATCCTCTTTTCTTTTCTAGCCTCCTCCTCCATTCCTGTTATTTCCCTGTTTATTGTTTTATTTGTATGGCACTTCAGGTTATCGGGTTTATTGAACGACTTAATACTTTTACAACTTTATTGAAGGGGGGAAGGCAGACCTTTCCATTCGCTTCGATTGTGAATTGACGTTGAACTTTATTTGCGGATCTGCAGAGTAGGACTGGGCTCTTTCTTTGTTCTACAGTCGAGATTAGATAACGGGAAATCGGTTGGGATGTGCCACATTTACTACGACGATACTACGATAGACCCTGCATGGATGTTGTGTTATGGAGCCATCAGCCTGAAGCAGCGTTTGTTGTTTAGCTACCCCCGCTAATTGCCGCACAAACCGTTTAACAACTTGAAACATGTTCGGGGTTTTGTGCCAAAGTTAAAGAAGAACATGACCATTAGCTTATCTATAGATTGGACATTTCCTATAAATGAACACACATGTGTCAGCACAACAAATCAAAGTTTGGTCCCCTTCTTCTCCTTCTCCTACTTCTTATCGGTTTTCGGTGTTTATCAGGTACAAAAAAAAACGCTGACCAAAGTTTATTTAGGACCCGAGAATTCAACAAAGAGAGAGAGAGAGAGAGAGAAGAGAGAAAATCAAATCAATTATTAATTAGAAAATTGTAAAACATTTGTTAAAGCAAATTAATTACAAATCAAAAAAAGAGAAGATCATAAAATATGAAAATAAATAGTTTGCTTAAATAATTTATGTTCTGCTGATTGGTGGGCGTTCGACATTTGAATATTTTACATAAATTATTCAGTTCTCAGTCAGCGATGAGGCCATACCGACACCAGAACCAGGTTTAGCATCACATCAGTCTACTTTCGGCACAAACTCCCCCGAATATTTGCATGATTTGATACGAATACTAACCAAAAAGAGCTCTGCTGAGTTATATTTTAATGTGAACTTTTGCTGTTTCTCTTGCCTTTAGACGAGCGCGATGCCATTCAGAAGAAGACATTCACAAAATGGGTTAACAAACATCTGAAAAAGGTGAGTAAACTATGATTTAATCATCTCTCAAAAAACATGGAACCTCTGCTTAAATTAAAACCGTCATAATGAACCGAACTGAACCGAACATTTAAAATTTGTTTTCCAAGCAGCATTGGAAGTATGCCAAGGTATTATCCATATCCACACAACATAGTTTCGTTTTGCAACACTTACAGAATCCTTCAACTGATGTAAAATCATTTTTTCAGACCTATACCATGCTACATGTTTGTGTTACCACAAATGGCATACCCTGTTGTTCTCAGTCTGTAAGTGAAAGGGTATTCTTCCTCTTTGATGTTTTGCTCTTTTGGCTTTTTGTTCTGCCATTAATACCGTGGAAATCTTATTTCAATTTGCATTTATTTTCATGTTTATTTTGTTGTTCAATCGAACAAAATTTGAGTTTGTTTGCATGTTTGTTGTGTAGCTCTTAAATTGATTTGCAATTTTCGAAATTACCTTTTACTTATTTGTGTATTTGTGTACCATTATTATTCCTTTCACACCCGCAATCGCACCCTCAGGCAAATCGTCGTGTGGTGGACTTGTTTGAAGATCTGCGCGATGGCCACAACTTACTTTCACTCCTGGAGGTGCTTTCTGGCGAACACCTGGTGAGTGGTCATCCATTCATTGGATTTCAATTCACTTTTGTCACGCTCTCGCTCAACCACCTTCTCTCCTTCTCTCCTTCCATCTGTCTATCCCCCTTTAGCCACGCGAGAAAGGTAAGATGCGTTTCCATATGCTGCAGAATGCACAAATGGCACTGGATTTTCTGCGCTACAAAAAGATCAAGCTGGTCAACATACGCGCCGAGGACATTGTGGATGGCAATCCAAAGCTGACTCTGGGCCTGATCTGGACAATTATACTGCACTTCCAGGTGAGTGAGGCATTCCGTGTAATGGTAATGCGTTTCGTCATTCTACGCATTCATTGATTGAGTAATTGGAGCAAAACTGTGGGCGTACCCACTGTCCCGCGACTGTGGGCACCTCAAAGTCATCTAGACAACCTCCGCCCACGTACCGCCGCGCTCGGCTGTTGAAGGTGACCCCCCGGGCCAGAGTTTGTTTTCATTTGGGCGTTTTGGTTGGCTCGATCGATTCATTGAGCCGTCGACTCAGCTGCCCACACACTAGCAGCAGCAGCAGCAGCAGCAGCAGCGCCGTGCTACAGTCTTGACACGCTACAAGCTACGCAAGATCTACCTAAAAATGTTTGGCGAACGCGGCGCCGCCTTTTAAGGCAACCCGATTGCCTTCTCTTGGCCGCCGTCGCTGACTGACATACATAACAATGTTGTTGCTGTTTCTGCTGCTACAGTTCGTCAGCTGCAAGGCCGTGAGTTGGCTGATCGGCCAATGGATTGAGCCAGTTTGGGCCACCTACACAACGGCAACCGTCAACAAGCGGCTGCCAGGGCCAAAAGTATACATAAGTATGGGATGCACTTGATGGGCATTTACATAATATCGAATATAAGCTGAGAGAGATCGATATCCAAAAGAGATTTCGATACGTTTTCCGAATTCTAACGTGGATGTTTTGGCAATCGATTGCAGCAGGCGCTTACTCATCAGCGGCACCATCATCGATCATCGATCTCAACAAGATCGTCGTCATGTCGCACACATTTCCGCACAAAACCAATCCCCCAAACCAGCCAGCCAGCCAGCCAGTCAGCCAGCCAGCCAGCTAGTATGTGTGTCAACAGAAACTGCAGCAGCAGCAGCAGCAGCAGTGGCAGTGGCAGCAACTAGATGCAATACAAAACTTGAATATTTCGTAATTTGCGACAAACGCAGATGCATTTTCAAGCCTGGAGCCTCGCATGGCTGTGGCTTGACTCCGACTTGATCGATGGTGCACATAAATGCTCAATGATGCTGCCAGTTCACCGACCATGAGGCAAACAACAGCAACAGCAACAGCAACATCAGCCACCGGGGCTGCCAACTGGCGCTCATTCAATTGAGGCGAACGAATTGTAAATCACTTGACAATGTGAAACTCAATCGCGCGTCATTTACTGTTTCGCTGGGATTTTTATTTATTATTTCTTGTCTGTTGTCTGTTGTCTGTTGTCTGGCCACAGACAGCAACGACAGCAGCAGCCGCAGCCGCAGCCGCAGCCGCAGCCACAATTGTCTGACCCAAGGATTTATGTATATTGTTTTTGCTGCAGTTGCGGGTGTCTGATGTCATCTGTGGCAGCAGAATATGCAAATCCACGAGCCAGATCTTGACTTAAAAGGATATTTCTTGATTTGCATACCAAATTATCGATCTGGAGTCTCAGTCCCAAATCCATATATACATACTGTATGGAGTATATCCAAATCCGAACCGACATCTGACAATTATGACACAATTCCTGTTTTCCATTTGGGTGCGACAAACGCGAGCGCAGTCGGAGCAATTTTGCGCAAAACAGCAGCCGCTGGCAGTTTGTAACGCTCCTTAGCTTGTAATTAAGTTATAAATTGTGCAAGCAAATCGATTTGATCTATGAACCACCCACAACAGCAATCAATCAGTGACTTTGAGGCGCTTTGCTTTACGTCAGATTCTAAGTGTCATAGAAAAATGTCGAGCTTAGAGATCATTTATGAAAGCAATTGGGAGATGTTTCGTTTAGCTTTAAGACTTTATTTAGTGAGCTGCGAACTCAATTTGTAAAGCTAAACACTCGACTTGGCACTATACCGCCATCAATTAAAAAGATTTAATGTTTTTAGCACACTTTAAGCCACCCCCAATCCCCCAGTCTCTGGAAAACCTTGCGGCTGCCACATCAACTTCCTAAGCCTCTCAATTGCTGAATTTGAATAATAAATTGATGGAACAACCCCTTGGGGGCAGACAGTGAGATCTGTGTCGAATGATTCCACAATTCTGGCAAACGTTTCCATTATGAGCATCAGATAATTTTCCAAGCAATTTGCCATTTTTCATTGCTCGTTAGTTAGTTAGTTGGGGGGGGGGGAGTATCTCACAGACAGCAGCATTTGTATTTGGCCAAAATACCAGAACCGAGTTGTTTGGCCAAGTCGCCGAGGCATACAGAAGTAACGCCTCGAAAGAAAGCCAACTGACAAACAGAGAGACGAGACACCGAAACACAATGGCTGGGCTCCAGCAGCGTACCGATTCTCACGTCATCGTTCGAAGCTGAAAAAAGATTATTATTATTATTATTTGTTATTCGTTTGTTGGCATTTGATTTATTATAATACGTCGCGGTATGTGTTACAATAAAGTCAATGCCAAAGGCAGTAACCAGAATTACTTATAAACCGAAATTCAAATAAATATAAAAGTATTTTCTGCCCTGTCCATGACATCAGCAGCAGAGCTGCTGTAGGAACAAAACGAAAGACTTCAACGCACAGGCGGCAGGGAGGCAAGCAGCAAACGCGAGATGTGACCAGCTGTTTGGTTCCAATATGGAATGTTAACAATCCAACAACAAATGCACTTATTCGTCTTAATTTATGACATTAATGACTGAATTTTTGAATGGTTTTTCTCTCTCTCTCGCTGTGTGTGTGTGTGGGTTGACATCTCGAAATCTATCTTTAGCAATCTTAGGCAAAAATCAAAAAGAGATAACAACAAAAAACAAAACAACAAAAAAGCAACAAAGTTTCATTAATAAATCGAATCGATAGCCGATGTGCACATACATATAAGGCAACCAGTCAGCCATCCACAATATTCCTTCCCTCTCTCCCACCTGGTATGCAAATGCCAAAAGATCTGTGATCTGTCTATAAAAGTTAAACTCGACAGTTGTTTGCACTCGAATAGCGTTTACAAGTGTAAACGTGTCTCAAATGGCTTATAATTAATGTGAATGGAAAACACACTTAGACACAATGCAATCCACTGCCCAGTTACAGATACAGATATAGTCTAGTATATGTTTCAGGTATGTAGATAAAATTACAAGCAGCTAGGCAAATATTGCCATGATATACCCAAAGGAATGCCACAGCTTGGCGCCCACGCAGACACCCACAATTTCCGATTTGGAACAGGGCTACACACGGGGGGGATTCCGCTGAGGTGGTGGGTGCTGGGGAATGGACATGAAAAAGTGTCAGCTACTGGTTTCATTTTGTTTCGCCACCACAAACAACACGCCTCAAGTGCAAAGTGCTGCTCAAATTACGATAGTTATGAGCATAATGCGGCATTTGTTTACTGGGTTGCATCACCTCGGTATTAATAGGCCTCTGGCATGCCCTGTCACTGCAGTGGCTAATTAGATTTGCAATACATTTGTGCATACCGGCCAGGGTACGGACCGGACCAGGCCGAACCTTCTCTTAGCTGCCCGGCCACCCATCCAACTCTCTTTGTTGACTGTAGCCATTTGAGAGTGTGTGTGAATAAAACAGCCACTGAAAACAGTTAATGCATAATGTGTATTTATTACACATGTACATAAATATAACGATAGCCAGGCCAGCAAGTACATACAGTACACGTACCTGTGCGGCACGTTCAAGCTCTGGAACAGCTGTAGTCTTAGTCCATATGGGGCATTGACAGACAGCCAGTTCAGGCATGCAACATGCTAATTAGCCAAGTGTGTTGCTGCACACGTAAATCAAAGCAACTTATACTTCCGTCTGGGTAAATCAGCTATAGAAGTGAGAGACCACCAGAGACTATTAATTCCATTTATTGGAGCTCTAATAAATATACGTTTGAAGTGCAATTCACTGGGATTCTCTTTTGCAGCATTCACTTGTGCATCGCAAGTTGTTTAAGGGTGTGTGGTAGCCCTAATTCCTCATTTCTAAATTTACTTTGCCATTTCCCCTGCCATTTGATGTAAGCCTGGTCACCATCATCATAATTTCTGTTTTTGGGTCACTCTGGGTGTAATGGTCTTGTCGTGATGTGTTATGAGGCGACTTGCTCGTAAATTGGAATTGCAAAAACCCTAAAATATCATGGGGTCACGGGCCCAAAGAGGAGGAATTCTACACCACGAATCTTGGAATCTATTTTTATATATCTGCTTTTGGCCAACTGTTTGTAAGCTTTTTTTTGTATTTTATTTTATTTAGTTTTTTGTTGCCGATTTTTAATTAAAACTTGTTCTCGCTTGTTTAATACATTCCACTACTGCTTCTTTTTTCTTCTTTCTTCTCTTTGCATTCCTTTTCTGTCTTGTTGGGCTGCTTTTTCTTCCTTCTTCTTTGGTTTCTTCTGTGTTTTGCGATTTCTTCCTCTTCTAATTCCCATTGTTAATATTCTTTGGCCCGTCTTTTTTGATGTGTGAGAATACGGAAAAAGAAGTACCTGTGATGACGTACCCCACTGAATGGGAGCCGCTTCCCTCCTGAACCCTTTAAGCCCACGAAGAGACTCAGTCAGAGAGGTCTGTTGTTTCCCCTCTCCTTTTTGCCTCTCTCTTTGCTGCTGATGTTGCTTGCTGTTCTTTCTGCGTTACATATGCGTTGGCGTAGGCGTTGGCGTGAACGTTGGCGTCGTTGCCATGGTGTTGGCTGCAAATACGTCATCAAAGCGGCACCGCAGCGGCAGAATCAGGTGGAACGGCAACAGCGGTGGCGGCGGCAGCGGCAGCGGCAGCGGCAGCGAAGCCAGCAATCCATAACGGGGATGGCAGAGGCAGCCACACACTCGAACACACACACACAGGTACACACGCACAGCTGTCAGCACGATCGCGATTCCATATCCATATACAAGTCCGACTTTGGCTTTTGACGCCAACGCCGAAGCCGAAGCAGCAGCAGCAGAAGCAGCTGGCAGCAGCAGCAGCGGCAACAAAAGCGATCGCCGTGTGCCAATTCCACTCTGTTTCGGTTTCTGTCTCTGTTTTTCTATTCTCACCTGTAACCGCGCTTCGCAGCCGGCGTTGGCGTTGGCGCTGGCATCGGCATCGACGTCAACACCTGAGTAGCAGCAGCAGCCACACTTTAAGCATTTTAACTTGGCCAGATCGCGTTTAGTTGTTGTCGAGAAGCCGCCGTACACAGCATTTGATGCCGCCGCTCTCCATGTTTATATTTGCATGCGTTCCGTAGCGGAACCAGAACTCTTCCGAACCGTCGAACCTCACCGAACGCGTCGCGTCGCGTGTGTTTCCCATCATCGCAATCCGCCGACAAAGTGCTTACCTCCCCCCCCCCCCCCCCCCCCAAAAAAAAAAGCCAGTGCAAACTGCAATCCAAAGTCAAAGCCCAAAAGTGTTGCAAAGTTGTTCAATTAATTCTCCTTCCTGCCGAGTACCGTATGATGTCAGACCCTGGGGGGCAGCGAGCGCTCCAAGCGATCCAATCCGATCTGCGGATCCATCTACAACGTTATTAAGGCGACTGCAATCAGTTTTGTTTGATTTATTAAATGCCGCCAATTCCAATTGATTTCAATCGGAGCACTGCAATTGAGTTCCATTCCGCAGCTTCGAACCTCAAACCTATTTCAATCATTTTTGTTTTTATTTATGACGAGTTTATTATTAAAGTGGGTCTCGAATCTGAGTGGATTTCTCAATTCGTTTGCTTGTTTGCAAACAAATGGAAACGGGAAAGGGAATGGGAATGGGAATGGGAATGAGAATGGGCTGAAAAGTAAAGTATAGAAGTAGCTGTAAAATAATGACGTACTCTCTCTCCCTCTCCCTCTCCCTCTTGCGCATTTCCCTGTTCCAGTTCAGAGCTTTTAGTTCTCGTATTTTCGCTTTTGCCATTTTTAACGACACGACGACACGGCTCTCCTCAAGTGGTTTATTATTATCTTCTGGTTGGAGCTGTCTGTCTCTCCCCAGTTGCTTTATTAATTTTAATTTATGAGGCTCCCCGAAAATACAGACAATTTGTTAAATTATTTGATAGTGCCTTGCAGTCAGCGCTTGAGCAATGCAAATTGGCAGGCATCCGAACGAGCATCTTCCATTCCGAACAGTAGCCACCCCAAATGGGCAACGACCATATACTGCTACCCGTACCACATTACCAGATGCTACGAAAGCACATTGAAAATGTCAAGCCATTAACGCCTCTTAGAGACGCCTCCACAGACACTTTTAAGACCAGGCATCAGCCTCAGGTATTTTTAGTTTTCGTATTTTTTTTGGAATAATCACATTAAAACCTCGCAGATCGTTTATAAAAATGTTGCAATTAGCATTTTTCTGCCACATGTTTGTGTGTGTGTGCTGGCCTGGCCTGGCCTGGCCTGGTCTGGTCACGGTGGTGCGCAGGCGTAGACAGGCGCAACGACAACCTCCAACCTCCAGTCTCCGTTTCCAAATGCAAAGCAAACATTTCGTTTTTATTTTTTTGTATGTGTTCCCCGGGTGGGCGAGCGTTTTGGTCATGACAACTGTCTTATTGATCTTGAGCCATATAGCAGATTAATCAAGAGATTTCTATTTAAAATGCTTCAAAGCATACATTAGTTGAGGTGTGAACCGTATGGCATTCACAGCAAATACACCAAAGGATGTCCTGTTGATTTAGAAACACTTTTCCTCTATTTACTTTGGTCATTGTAGGACTCGCAGCTTGTTTGCTATAATTATTGGACTCCAAATATTTGCGAGAGCTTTCGTTCATTTCCTGTTTCGATCGTTTCTCTTTCGGGAACAGAGCAAACGGGGAGTGCTGCTGTTCCATTGCCATAATGTTTCCCCATGCAAAATTTGCGTGCCTGCGAAGCTCATGAATCCGCTGCCCATCATGATTCAGCAGCGCACACATGAACTTGTAGTTATGGAATGGAATGGGATGGCATTTTTTGCACACACAAATGACGAAGAAGCAGCAGTAACCAGCAACCAGTAGAAGCAGCAAATAGCGCCCAGAGCAAGACTGACAGGCAGTTGAGATAATTATGTGTACGTACAACACAATAAATAATTCGCAACAATGGGATGGATGGCCCCCTCCACCCAGTTTCCCCCCCTCCCGCATGGAGCACTTCAGTTCGTTCGGTTCACTCTACTTGGCAATCGCTGTGGGGTTTCTGCCAATGTCTAGGGCAATGCCGATGGCGCAGGCGGCGTACCGGTGGGCAATAGAACAAGACATCCGGTGCCGGGTTTTGGGCTTTTCGGCTTAGGCTTTGGCTTTGGTTGGTTTGTTCTTTGGCTTTGGCTTTGGCATAATTAAACGCAAATTGCGGACCGGCGGCAACTCAATTGTCTGCGAGCACGAAACGAATCCAAAGCAAAGGAATAACAATTATTTTGAAATCACGCACAAATATAGCCAAAAGAAACGCAAATTGAACGCAAAACGAAACGAATTAAAGCGAAACCTAAACGAAACAAAGTGAAAACGAAACGATAACAGCATCGATAACAACCGATAGCTGCGACAAAATGCACTCCAGCTCGCAATCGACGCTCAAGCGCACGCAGCAGCTGGTGCGGCAAACGAATGGCGGCCGAGGCGACATCCTTAGCAGCGGCAGCGAAGTGGTTCACTCCTCCCGGGGTCCGCCCATCACCACCAACATCGATGACTCCAGTCTGCGCTACCGCCATGAAACGAAACGGGAACGGACTGTCGAGGCGGTGATTACGGACTACCCGGGAACATCGCCTTTGGGCAGCGTGGGCTTGCCCCACGAGCGCACCAACTTTGAGCGCACGGTGACCTTCCAGGATGCGGCCGGCAATGGCAGACGCATCTCGGAGAGTCGTGCTCTGGTTCCCTCTGGCGGGAACACGGCGCAGGCGGCCAGCAGCAGCAGCAGCAGCAGCTACCAGCAGGTGACGCGCAACAAGCGCATCTCCACCGAAGTGCTGGGCTCCAGCGTGGAGAGCACCAAGACATCGCAACGGGCTCCCAATGGCCATCGGCGCGTGACCACGCACATTGTCCGCAAGGTGACCACGCTGAGCCGTGCCGAGGAGAACGCGCAGCCTGCCGAGGATTTGCTGCCGCCAGCCAAAATGATACGCAGCTCCGAGCTGGAGTATCGGCGCGCTCTGCCCGCCCCATTGGCCATTGAGTCGTCGTCCACGCAGCGCAGAGAGGTAAAGGGTGTCTGGGGGGGCGGGGGAAAAGGTTCTATATAAATTCCTCAGTTTTGCTCCAATTGCTTCCTTTATAATGATTTTCCTCATGCTGCTGATTCCTTTACTAACGCTTTGTGGACATTCTATTGTGCTCGACAGATCTCCGATATTGTTGTGGGCAAGGAGGACAACGTATCCGCACGTGAGGCTTTGCTGCGATGGGCACGCCGCTCGACGGCTCGGTATCCGGGCGTGCGTGTGAACGACTTCACATCGTCGTGGCGGGATGGATTGGCCTTCTCGGCCCTGGTGCACCGCAACCGACCGGACTTGCTTGACTGGCGAAAGGCAAGGAACGATCGGCCACGTGACCGCCTAGAGACGGCCTTCCACATTGTGGAGAAGGAGTATGGAGTGACGCGTCTATTGGATCCCGAGGGTAAGCCAAAATACCTTTTGCTTCAGCTCTGATGCCATAGCTAATGATTCACAATGATTCTCCCTAGATGTGGACACCAATGAGCCGGATGAGAAGTCTCTGATCACGTACATCTCGTCGCTGTACGATGTGTTCCCGGAGCCGCCCTCGATCCATCCACTGTTCGACATGGAGTCACAACGTCGCGTGCATGAGTACCGCGATTTGGCCCAGCAATTCATCTACTGGTGCCGCGAGAAGACCGCCTACCTGCAGGAGCGCTCCTTCCCGCCCACGCTCATCGAGATGAAGCGTCTGCTGAGCGATCTGCAGCGCTTCCGCAGCGAGGAGGTGAGCGCCCGCAAGCGGGAGAAGTCCAAGCTCATTCAGATCTACAAGGAGCTGGAGCGGTACTTCGAGACAGTGGGCGAGGTGGATGTGGAGGCCGAACTACGACCGGATGCCATCGAGAAGGCCTGGTACCGCATGAACACAGCCCTGCAGGATCGTGAGGTGATACTGCAGCAGGAGATCGAGCGCTTGGAGCGGCTGCAGCGTCTCGCGGACAAGGTGCAGCGTGAGATCAAGCATGTGGACCAAAAGCTGACTGATCTGGAGACTCGGATCGTCGAAGAGGGTCGCCGCATTGAGCGGCTGCATCCCGTCGATGCCAAGAGCATTGTGGAATCCCTCGAGACGGAGATCCGGCATCTGGAGGAGCCCATACAGGACATGAACCAGGACTGCCATGTGCTCAACGAAGGCCGCTATCCCCATGTGAGCGAGCTGCACAAGAAGGTGAACAAACTGCACCAACGCTGGGCTCAACTGCGCACCAATTTCCACACGAACCTCGTACAGAAGCTGTCAGGTTTGAAGTATCCCGTCCATGAGACGACCGTCACGCGTCAAACGCGCATGGTCGTCGAGTCCCGTCAGATCGACACGAATCCCCATTTCCGCGATCTGCAGGAGCACATTGAATGGTGCCAGAACAAGCTGGTAAGTACAGAGAGGGAGAGAGAGAGTCGTGGGAGAGAGTCCTACCGAGTCTTATATCCATTCTGTCTTTTTATCCATAGAAACAACTGCTTGCCGCTGACTATGGCAGCGATTTGCCATCGGTCAAGGAGGAACTGGATCGTCAGCAGCACGAGCACAAGATCATCGATCAGTTCCACTCGAAAATACTCAACGACGAGCGCCAGCAGACAAAGTTCACTGGTGACGAGCTCAATCTCTACCAGCAGCGACTCAATCAGCTGCAAAAGGTCTACGCAGAGCTGCTCAGCACCTCGACGAAGCGTCTGTCCGATCTGGACTCGCTGCAGCATTTCCTGGGCCAAGCCTCGGCGGAGCTACAGTGGCTCAATGAGAAGGAACAGGTGGAGATCACGCGCGACTGGGCGGACAAGCAACTCGATCTGCCCTCCGTGCACAGATACTATGAGGTAAGAGAGATAGAGAGAGATCGATCGAGCATTATCTTAGAGCTAGTTTCATATGAGTGTTGTGCTTCTATTTTGTTTCTGCAAGCGTGCATTTGGTAATGGCGACGAGGTAAGATCTGAATTGGTTCAAAAATACCATGAAATTCCATTGAAATTCAATCGAAAAGCAAACTCCGACCAAGTGCACTTCTCTTTCGATACTTTTTATCAAAGCACTAATCAAAATACGGACACTCTTCTCTCATGTAGAACCTTATGTCCGAGCTGGAGAAGCGTGAGATGCACTTTGCCACCATCTTGGACCGTGGAGAGGCTCTGCTCAATCAGCAGCATCCGGCCTCGAAGTGCGTCGAGGCACATCTGACGGCCCTGCAACAGCAGTGGGCCTGGCTGCTGCAGCTGACCCTCTGCCTGGAGGTGCACCTGAAGCATGCCACCGAGTACCATCAGTTCTTTGGCGAGATCAAGGACGCCGAACAGTGGCTGGCCAAGCGTGACGAGATACTCAACAGCAAGTTCTCGCAGTCCGACTTTGGCCTGGATCAGGGTGAGACGCTGCTGCGTGGCATGCAGGATCTGCGCGAGGAGCTGAATGGCTTTGGCGAGACGGTGGCCACACTGCAGCGTCGCGCACAGACGATTGTGCCGCTGAACAAGCGCCGCCAGCCGGTGAACCGTCAGGGACCCGTGCAGGCCATCTGCGCGTACAAGCAGCAAGGACAGCTGCAGATCGAAAAGGGCGAAACGGTGACCCTGCTGGACAACTCGGGACGTGTGAAGTGGCGCGTGAGGACGGCCAAGGGACAGGAGGGCTCTATACCCGGTGCCTGTCTGCTTCTGCCACCGCCCGACCAGGAGGCCATCGACGCTGCCGAGCGTCTGAAGCGTCTCTTCGACCGCTCCGTGGCCCTGTGGCAGAAGAAGCATCTGCGTCTGCGCCAGAACATGATCTTTGCCACCATTCGGGTGGTGAAGGGCTGGGACTTTGATCAGTTCCTTGCCATGGGCCCCGAGCAGCGCACGGCCATCAGGCGCGCCCTGAACGACGATGCAGACAAATTGCTCAGCGAGGGCGATCCCAATGATCCGCAGCTGCGACGCCTGCGCCGTGAAATGGACGAGGTCAATCGATTGTTCGATGAGTTCGAGAAGCGTGCTCGCGCCGAAGGTGAGTGTGGGCGATGGCCATTCAATTGCTGGCGTTTGCCAGCTGTCCCCCCAGTAGAGCAAAGCGTAGCACACACTTAATTGATGAAAGCTAATTGAATTGAATGCCCTGCCCGCTTGAGTCTCGTTGCCTGAGGCTCGTCTTAGTCTTGGTTAGTCTAGTCAGCCATGAAGAAGCTGTTCGCGAGTGCCAAAACGAGGGGTAATCCTCCAGGGAATCCTTTTTAAGGCAGTCACTAATATTGCTATTTTTTTCAACTTTTTGCAGAGGAGAGCAAGCAGGCAAGCCGCATCTTCACCGAGGAGTGCATTGCCATCAAGGGCAAGCTGGAGGATATGGCCCGGGAGCTGGATCAGATTATACTGGCTCCACTGCCGCGGGATCTGGACTCCCTGGAACATGTGCTCGAGATCCATGGCGACTATGAGCGCAGGTTGCATTTGCTCGAGCCGGAGCTGAAGCATCTACAGGAGACATTCCGCACGATTGCTTTGAAGACGCCCGTGCTGAAGAAGTCGCTGGACAATCTGAACGAGCTGTGGAAGGAGCTGAACACGCAGAGCGGCCTGCACAAGGATCGATTGAAGCTGCTGGAGGCCTCGCTGGCCGGACTCGAGGACAACGAGCATGTCATTTCCGAGCTGGAGAACGAGCTGGCCAAGCACCATGACCTGCCATCGACGGCCGAGGGCCTGCAGCAGGTGTTCAAGCAACTGACGCACATGCAGGACATAATTACCCAACAGCAGCCGCAGATGGACAAGATGAACGATGCCGCCGATCAGCTGGGACGCATGGGTGTGCCCACCAAGGTGCTGGGCGATCTCAAGCGTCTCCATTCGAACGTGGAGCGCCTGAACACGCGCTGGAGTTCGGTCTGCAATCAGCTGGGCGAGCGGTAGGTAGCGCCAGTGCCACCTGCAAGCGTTGCTCCGCTTCATTTGTGCACAGGAATGGAGGTGGAACCTGTGCTCTAACATCTAACACCAACGATCGTTTGCACTCCCTCTTACAGAATGCGCTCATGCGAGACGGCCATTGGGCTGATGAAGAATCTCCAATCGAGCGTGCAAGTTGAGGAATCATGGGTGGATGGCACCACAGAGCGTCTCTCTGCCATGCCCACGGCCACCTCGGCCTACGAGCTAGACGTGAGTACACACAGCACACATTCATGACCCGAGATCAATTCAATTCAATTATCCATATCTGATGATAGAACCTGTATAGATCCCCTGCATTCCCCTGTACAGTTTATTCGAAACAACTAGTAGCTGGGACTATCCCTGATCCTGCCTCGGGGCAACACAAAGTATATATATATATTTGTAGCTGTAAATGGAATTCGTAGTCCGAATCCTGTCCCAAGAAGTAGATTTGCTCAATATCCGTTGGTGCTGGGACACGATACAGTATTCTAAATGTATTTTAATTGTTTATTGTATTTGTACGCCCATTTCCATTTGCCATTTGCCATTTGTCTAACGATCTACTCGAGTTGTCCCTTGTCCGTACATGGTATACACATATATCTCTTGCAGTAGTTATTTTTGTCTAATCCAAGAGCAGATTCTGCTACCCACACCACACACACACACACACACACACACACTCGAACATATGTACATATCAAGTCCAAATGTGGCCAAATTATGGCCACCACCTACACACAAACCAACAACAACCAAGTAGAGAGTACCTTATATGTAGGTGGTATCAACCCCGTCCCTCCCCACCACCACACTCTGTAAATTGATACCAAATTTGTGTTGGTAGTTTTTTGGCATTTTATTATTAGTTGTGTGTGTAGTTTGTCTCCCTCTGTACCCCCTAAGCTGCACCAAAACATACCCATATCAATGCCATATCTATTATACACATATATCCACCGCCCCCCAGTATTATATATCGTATTTGTAGTTGAAAACTAATTGTATATGTATTTTTGTCTAATTTTTTATGTATTTTCACAACCAATTCAAACAAATATTATCACACACTATAAAACACACACAAAATGAATGATTCAACCAATGAAATATCCTGCAAACAAATATAACAATATATTTGTTGTCAAACAAAACCCCCCTCGAACCCCTCATATATAGAAACTGCTTGGAGCTGCAATCGAACGAAAACCAAAAATCGAAAGTGTCAACGTGGCTGGAGGACGACTGATTCGCGAAGCTAAGGTAAAAATTTGTTATGCCTGTGTCCTGTGTGCGTGATTGACAACTGCGACATATCGCAGCTCGACTGCGATCTTCCATTGGGTTGCGATAGGTCAGTGCCAGTGCTTTGTGTGGCAGAGTGCCAGCACTTGGGTATAATTGTGTTTCGAGTGATTGTGTAAATATTTCGACCTCTTAGCTGTTCCTCCCACTCTGTCAACTACACATATATTTAATGCTTTTTAAAACACTTTGAGCCTCTCGGACTAGGCTCAAATTTAAGTTCTTTTGTGGGTAAAAGGTGCGTTAATAACACTTGGGAAACAACAGAAAACCACAACCGATATTGACCAACAAACCAAACAACAAACAAACATTAAAACAATTAAAAAGCAATTATTAGACCAAAAAGTAATGTCGTATTGATTAATCAATCAAATAAAAAGCACTAAATATATCAATCCCCTTGAGAACCCAACAACAACAACAACAACAACAACACCAACAAAAAGCGTATTGTTTAACACACAAACTTTACTAACATTTAACCGATAATTAACCAACCCAAACAACCATCGAAACAACGCAACGGATCGACAGATCTACGACAGTAAATGCCTACGCTTTGTGGATTGGCTGCTGGAGGCACGTCCATCGTTCTCGCCGCCACGTCGTGACCTGCGGCCGGCGGACAGCGATCCGGGTGCCACACAGTATTACAGCCAGCGTTTGGACAATCTCAATACGAAATACGACAGATTGCTGGAACAACTGTCGCAGCGGCTAAAAACCGCAATCGAAGTCAATGGCAGCGATGGTCTGGTGAGTAGTTATACCCATTCCCCACTCTATCAATGGATATTTTGCGGATCGGATTGGAGTGGCGCATGGACTGACGTCAGTGCTCATGTTGCACATGGGCAAAGGTACAGGCCTAGACCTGTCAACGGGTGTTAAATTCATAATTCCCAGGTTCAAGTTCAGAAAACTTGTTTCGCTTTCGCTTTCGTTTTCGTTTTCGTTTCCGTTTTCTACAGTCGCAAGAGAGTTTTCAAATGCAAATACGACTTGTCCGTCACTCAGTTGTATCATTTCGTGCCTCCCATCTGTGTCTGTCATTGTGTCTGTTGTATATGCTTCAACTATTATTAAATTAACCTTCAGAATGGCAGACACACAAATAATGACATCACATCTAGTCACAACGAATTGTCCAAACATTCCGTCAATGGGCCACAGCCACAGCCACCGCCGAGTGTCAAACGCTTGAAATGCTGCCGCCATAAATCACGGCTTGATTAATTCAATAACAATTTTAAACTGTTTTTTGTTCTCCTGCGAGCGAATTGATGCAGTAATTTGTACAAAGTTTGGGATATAAAAATAAATATTGCATCAGGAGTAGCTCGATGAAACCATGAAAATAGCCATGGTAATGTGGCTGGCCAATTAGGCAAATGGGAGACAGATTTCAAATTAAGTGTGACGCCGCTGAATTCTATAAATATTAATGAGTCCAACCGATATCCGATAGTCATAAGCCAAAAGAACTCAATGCCAGTGGCACGTCATCAACATCTTTGTCGCCATAGCCGCTGCCATCTGTCAACTCTTGACAACGGGTTTGGCTCAAACGATCCAAGAGGAGGTTCTCAAATAAAAGATCGACTTGGGCAGCTATTTTGGCCATAAGTTTGGTAACTTGTTTACCAAAGTGAAGGCACTTCTGCTGATCTTACAATGTAAATATGGGTTCAATCAACTTTGGTAATATCTCTTGGGCTTTTTTCTATCTCTCTCTGCATCTCTCGCACAAGTTCTCTTCAGTGTGCGCAATCCTTTGTCGAGTATTCTAGAATGTGTTCCATTTATCTTTACTTTTCCATGTGTGAATTTACCTTTCTCAAAGTGATTTCATCTGTGCCAAAATAGTAGCCTGGGAATCTTCGGCAGCCTTTGAGCCAAGCGTTGCCTTCGCAGCAAGGTCTCAGCTATTGGAGGTGACATCATTACGTTGTACCTCTACGAGTGACTCCATTACCAGCATTGCCTTCGGCTTTCGGCTTAACTTGATATGCATAGCTTGGGCGGTCTGCTGGCCTAACTAGAGTGAATGAATGTATTTTTATATATGCTGGCATCGTATTTGTTTTTGTTTTTATATTTAGAAGGTTAGAAGGCTGTCAAACTGGTTTCGCGCTTCTCTTTGAAATTAATTCTCAAAGAATTTTGTTCTTTTCACTTCCGTATATTGTTTTCGACTTTAAATTGGAGCCCCAACAGCAGCCCCCTTCCTGCCCTCTCTTTCTGCGCGTAACTCTTTTGCCAGAGCACTGGAAGCTCCCCTCCCCAACTCCAGCCCGTTGTTTTGTAAACGACTTGTTTATCATTTTGGCGCAACAGCTGAGGAATGCCAGCCGGCATTTGTAAGCTCTCTCTATGGCACACTCTCTCACTCGCTCTCTCTCTCTCTCTCATCAGCGGCGCAGTCACCAAAAGCTCGCTCGCTCGTTCGCTCTCTGTCGCTCTTCACTCGCCACATGCGATGGGGCCACAGCTAGAGCTCCACTCTGCTCTGGCTGCCTGTCCCACTCAGTTCCGAAAGCGACGTGGTTGTGTAACGACGCAACGCTTCTTCGTGAGTTGTGTGTGTGAGAGCGAACGGAAAACGGCTAACGAAACCCCGACAAAGGGGCAGAAAACAGCGACAAAGGTTGCCCGGCCGGACAGTTGCAAGGCGTATACGTACTACTCGTACTCGTGAAAAATTAAATTGTGTGAGAAACGTGTAATTATGTTTGGAGGAATAAATAAGAGAAAGGCCGGACATTGCTCATACGGCCCACATGGGCCACATGATGTCACATAGTACGGCCGTATAGAAAGTGTGTCTGTCGCCGTGTCCGTGCCATCGTCAGTGTCGGTGTCGCGGGGTCTCTCGCTTCTTCAATTAAATGCGAATCGCGTCGCATGGCCCGGTTTTATTTTGTTAATAGAAATTTAAATTTTACTGCCGCCAACCCACGTACCCAGCTCGCAGCCAAAAGAGTTCTACATTCTGTATAAAATGGCCCAAAAATGAAGTCACTTCACTCTCAATACAACTCGCATAGAAACTCAAAGCAGAAACAGAAACAGAACAGAACAGAACGAAGCACTCTCGAGAGTGTGAAAATGAAAATAAAAGAAATACATTATTAATATAGCCTTGAGAGCATGCCGCAAGAGACAGAATGTTGATTTTTGTTTTGTATTTGGCGTTAATGAAAGTACAAAAGACCCCAACAAAAAAATCACAAACACACACCAAAAGAAAAATAACAATAATAAGAGTCATGGCATGGACTCGCGCGGATTGTTAAAAGTTGCATAAACCCACAAAAATTCAAACCATTATCAGTTGCTGCTAAAATTAAAGACAGCAAAGAAAAGAAACTAAAATAATTATCAGAAATAATATTTAGTTAATAATTGTATGAATTATTACTTCCTATCAATGCCTCAGATCGACTGTGTCAGGGCTGCGGCGTTAATCTTATCGATGGAGGTGCAATCCATCAGACAGGACAGAGAGAGAGATAGAGAGAGAGAGAGATCGATCGCTGGCATGTTTTGGTTTCCGTGGAAATACAACTATGTTGGAGTGGAGTGCGTTTGCCTCTTGCCTCTTCCTGCACTTTTGCTGGCATCGTTTCCTTCTTTTATCGATTAAACGCGGCTGTGACCATTTGTGTTTCGGCTGGCGTCGTTTGTTTTACTCTTCAATATATATTTTTAGCGGCATTCTAACATATTTCAGTGCCCAATAAACTAGAAATGAAAGGGAGCGTTCGGTTCGTTCTGTTGGGTCTTTGTCCCCACTAGACGGGGGACAGGCGCCTATTTTCGGTTTTTTTTTCTGTCTCGCAGAGACCTCGCCTCTGTCATTGCAGACAGACTGCTGCATGCTGCAAAGCTCTCTCTGCAGTGCTCCCTCTCTGGCTAGCTCGCTCTCTCGCTATGCCTCTTGTTCTCGTAAGTTCTCCCTTGCCTGAATGCCGGCACAACGTGGCGTATTAGTCATGTTATCAGTGTCAAGCGCATCCCCAACCCCACGGACCCTGTGCATTCGATTTGGGCCAAGTAGCTTCTTAATCCACTTACAGAAAAACGCTCGCAACATCTCTGATTATTATTTTATTTCATTTTTGTTGTGTTTTGTGCTCGACAAAAACTTGTTTCATTTCAAATCAAATATTCGCCACTGATGACATCATTGTTCCCGTACTCGTATATTTACTGTGTGTATGCGTGTTTTTGTTAATTATAATTTATTTGTTGCTTTTACCAACTCTAGGGCAACCTTGTGGGCTGTCAGCAGCAGCAGCAGCAGTCGTTTACTCGTATTTTTCAATTTCAAATCAAGATGCAAATCGAGAATGTTGATCACTCTAGCAAAAGGCAGGTTCGCCTCCTTTCGAAATGACTTCATCTGGCAATTGATTCCGAGTATAAGTGACGTCAGTGCAATCCTGAGTGAAGTTACGACTCTCGGGCCATATGTCAGACATTGAAGCACAGAGAACGAGTGCCTATAGACGGAAAATAAAGATAAAAAGATAAATACGTGCGTGTGGATGCCTCACAACAGCAAATAGAACTCTTTGCGGGTTAATCACCCGTTTATAATTCAGATTCATATACAGAGATATCGAGCACCCCGGCCCTGCTCTGCCATGGCCCTTCCATGCATTCTTGCCCTCTTCTTTCACTGCTCACTGCTCACTGCTTTCATTGCTCATATTGTTCCAAACAGAAAACAAAATACATGTCGTGTGGAGGATGAGCAGAAATCACCCGACGATAGGGCTTGTGTTAATTGTTGCTCTCACATAGCGTCATTTCTATTTCCATTAAGGCTTTTGGGTTTTGGCTTTTCGTATGTGTGCTCTCTGTTGTGTTTTGTTTCATGTGCTTCATGTCGGTGCTGATAGTACTATAATTAAGAAACGAGTATGTGTGGGTTTGTGTGCTTTTGGGAGGGAAGTTATAAGTGCAAAATCCGGCATATGAATCGAGGGAATCCAAGCTTGAGCTGACCCTGAGTCTGGCGGAAGACTCTTCTGCAGAACCAAACCAAAAACCATCAACGCTATTCTTAGGTTTACTTTATCGCCTGTGACTTTATCTGAGGGGCCGTATCATATCAACAAAAGCAAAAAAAAAAAAAAGACATTAACGCATGCCATAAACAAACAACATTCCCAGTTCTCGGCGGCACTCGAATCTCGACAGTGGGACTTCAAAAGTGACGCGCTGTAGCCCCACCCCCGACCCGACTCTTCCCTTCCCGACCCAACACGACACGACACGACACTCGTATCGCCAAACGTATAAAGTAAATCTCTAATTGTTTCTCGCGCAGTGCATTCAAGAAGCCCCAAACTTGCCCAATCTAGAGGCTGACTATGACTTTGTCGAACTGAATCGAACGAAAAGCAAAGCCCTAGACATGCCACAGCATAGATCGGGTCGCAAGGCGACAACCAAAGCCCAAAGCAAAACCAAAAGCCAAACCCAAACCCAAACCAAAACCACAACAACTGTCCAAGTGGCAGAGGAAAGTGACTACGACTTTGCGTTCGAGTTTCAGGTAATGCTCCATCCATCCATCCATCCATTCCCCACTCCGAACTCCGCCCAAGATCCGCAAAGTTTCCAGCGACTGCATCGTCTTTGATTTCCCATAAAATGTTTCTTATTCAAATTCGTTTCATTTGCTGTCTAGCAATTCGCTGAGAGTCTACAGAAACCGCTCAAGACCTTTAGGGTTGACTTCAGTGCGGGCAGCGTGCCAACTGGCGATGGCCATGCTGCACGCCCGGAGGATCTCTATACGACTACCTACAGCACCACACAGTGAGTTCCTCATACATACATTACATCAGTAAAAGATAACTAATTGACTCCCTTTGTAGATTCAGCTCAACGAAGACAACGAAAAGCTCCTCGAAGAGCATCTACAGCAGCGACAACTTTGATGCCGCTAGTCAGGATTTGGGGGATGCTGCTGCCCCTGTGCCCGCAATCGGTACGCAGATCCAGTTCAATGAGATCCGTACGCTAAAACGCGGTCAGCAGCTGGGCAGCGGCAACTCGGTGCTGGATATTGCCGGCATACGCGATCCGCGCACGGGCCGCATCCTAACCATTGGTGAGGCCATTCAGCTGCGCATCCTGGATGTGCGCACCGGCGAGATGTTGGTGGGCGATCGTCGCATCACCCTGGAACAGGCCGCCGATCAGGGACTGATTGATGCCCAGCTGGCCAGGCAGCTGCTGCAGCCGGGAGCAGGACGCGATCCCAGCGGAAGGGAGCTGTCGCTGCTCGAGGTGATACAGCGCGAGATCAGCGAGGCAGAGGCCGGCTACGAGACGGCTGAGAAGCGCATCAAGGTAAACAGCGTAGTCACCACCGAGGCGGTGGGAGTGGTATCGCCTGAGAATCCCCGTAATATTGCCGACGCCATTTCTGCGGGGAGTGTGGACACCAAGACGGGCCTGTACCGGGTCAAGTCGGGGCATACCATCAGCCTGGCGGAGGCCTACGAGCGCGGCTACCTCATCCGGCACGAGTCGGTGACAATCAAGTCGAATGCGCTCTGCCTCAGCGATGCCATTGCCCACGGGCTGGTCGATGCCGCCGGCTGGATAGCGGACCGCAACTCCGGCGACAAGTTCCGGCTGGACTCGGCCATTGCCAATCAGCTGATCGATGCGAGCGTGCGCGAAGTGGTGGACGCGAAGCGCGACGTGAAAATAACACTGCAGGAGGCCCTGCAGTCGGGCGTGCTAAACGCGAAGACGGGTCGGTACGTGAACGAGGTGACGAAGGAGAAGCTCACCTTCTCCGAGGCGCGCAGCCGGCAGCTGATCGTGAAACCCTACACGCTGAAGGACATCTGCGACCTGAACCTGCTCGACCGGCAGACCGGCCAGATCACTAGTCCGATGCGCCGCGAAAAGCTGAGCATCATGCAGGCCATCGAGGCCGGTGTGCTCGACGGTAATCATCTGAAGTGCATCACCAAACGAAAGGGTGAGCTCATCACCCTGCAGAAGGCCATAGCGGATGGCATTGTGCTGCCCGCGGAGGGCAAGTATCGCGACTTTATGACCGGCGAACTGATCACCATTCCCGATGCCGTGGAACGCGGCCTGATCAGCTCGGTGGCTCAGCGTTCGATCTTTGATATTGACGGGTTCAAGGACCTGCGCAGCAACGACTATGTTAGCTTTAATGTGGCCCTCTCGCGCGATTTGCTGCGGCGCAAGAGCACGGGCTTTGCCTTAGAGACAGCCGGTAGGGACAAAGACAAAGACAAGGACAAGGACAAGGACAGGGATAGCCAGGGTGTGCCACTGGAGGTGGCCGTGGGCGAGGGTCTTGTCCGGCAGGAGGTGTACGAGATGTTCAATCGTGGCATTGGCGTACACAATGCCAGCGGGAAGGAGCTGAGCGTCTTCGATTTGGTCTATCACAATCTGATCGATCCGAAGACGGGCTACCTGCTGGACCCAAAAGCGGGCGACGGGGTGGAGACAGTGCCTTTGGACACCGCCATCGAGCGGAAGTTCATTACCCCCGAGGGGGCTCTCCTGCTGAGCAGTCTGCTCAACATAACCCTCACAACGGAGATTGTGAAGCAGACAATTAATCGTTATGTCACGATCCGGGCAGGCTCCCAGGAGCCAGGCTCAAGCGCAGGCGTGGCCGTAGGCGACAGCGTGCTGCTCACCTTCACGGAGGCAGTGCGCCAGGGCTTCATCGACGAGGACAGACAGCTGTTCAAGGACCCCAAGACGGGCAACATTTACTCGGTGCAGCAGGCCCTCAACTATGGCCTGCTGGTGCCCGACAGCAATCAGACAGTGCCGGAGATAACGAACCGCAAGAAGACCAAGTCCACCATCACAATTGTCACCAAACAGATCCTGCCCGAGGCGGAGCCCATCAGGCTGAACACCAAGCAAACGCACACCAAGTACGTGGAGAAATCCGTGGAGATACCCATCTCCCAGGAGATGGTGAGCAGCAGCAGCCACATGCATCAGGAGCAGAACGTAACGGAGCGACAGATCATGGAGCTGCCACCAGGTGGCTGGCGCCTGAAGGATGCCATCGAGCAGCGGCTGTTCAATCCCGACTCTGGCGTGTTCCATGTCCAGGGCACCGATCGGTTGGTCAGCTTTGAGGAGTGCATCGACAAGCAGATCATCAACAATCTGTCGGTCTCTGTGCTGGATCCGCGCAGCACCACACCCAGCGACAAGCTCTCTGTGAAGTCCGCATTCGAGCGGAAGATCCTGGACAGCTATGGCAACTATACGAACAGCCGCCAGCAGGTCCTGGGCATGCGCAGTGCCATCGACGAAGGCAAGATCATACTGGAGACGGTGCCTGCCACGCGGGGTTCAAGTCAAAAGACGATCCTGCGCATTACGAGGGTGAACAACATGCCGGATGTGCTGGAGGTATCCACGCCTCTGAAGGATGCCCCGCCCAAGTTTTTGGAGGTGAGAACCTGCCAGCGAGAGCTGGCCTCACCCGAGCCATTGCAAATTGCTCCCGGTGCCATCTACGATCCGTCCACAGCTCTGGTGATCTTCACACAGAGCGGGGAGACGGAGAATATCTTTGATGCGGCACGTCAGGGACTGATCGATGAGCAGCTGATCAAGATTATCGACCCCACAACCGGGCAGGAGATTTCCGTAACCGAAGCAATTGCACGCTCCATCTACGATCCGCGTACAGCCACTATACTGAATGCGGAAGGTCAACCCGTGGATTTGATAACAGCCACCAGGCTGGGACTTCTCAGCGTGATCGGTGCCCCACTGGTTGCCGCCGAGGGAGCCCTGCGCACCGTGCGCTTTGTCACAGATCCGCGCACGGGCGAGCAGATACCCGTGGAAGTGGCCTACGAGCGGGGAATTGTCTCGCGGGATCAGCGTTCCTTTGACAGCCAACCATCGCCAGTGCACGAGGAGAAGGAGAAAGAGAAGGAGAAGGAGAAGGTTGTGGTGCTGCAGAAGATGCGCAAGATCATCCTCAAGCCGAGGGATGCCATGCGAAAGGGCATCATTGACGAGGAGACCTGCCGTATAATCGAGGACACCAAGAACTTCACCAGCCCCCAAGGCGAGGTGGTCAACATCAGCGAGGCCCTGACCACGGGTCTGATCGATGGCCGTCGTGGCCAGATCATCGATCCGCAGAGCAATCGAGAGCTGAATCTCCGCCAGGCAGTGGAACAGAAGATCATCGACCCCGAGCAGACGAATCACATCCTCATGCCGCTGGCCAAGAGCTTGTCCGTGCCCAGGCTCGCCTCGCAGGGTCTCATTGATCCGCAGAGCCAGACGATTGTGCACCCGGAGAGCGGCTATCCGCTGAGCTTACACGAGGCGATCGTCTGCGAAGTGCTGGACCCACACTCGAGGCTGCAGAAGCCCGAGAAGTGCACGCTAGAGGAGGCCATCGAGAAGGGCATCATCAATGCGGATGAGTCCACATTTAGCTACAAAAACAAGAACCTAAACATAACCGAAGCCATTGAGGCAAAGCTCTTTGATGCCAGCTACGATCAGCAGAAGCCCAAGGTGGAAATTCCGCCCGTGGGCATGACATTCCCCGTGGCAGTGGAACGGAGTCTGGTGGAGCCCACCAAGGGTGTGGTGCTGTTCCCTGTGGCCAAGCTGAAGCCAGTGCCCCTCAAGCAGGCCATCGAGGAGAACTTCATCATGTCCATACCCTACGCACCGAAGCCCCACGCCATCGAAGTGGTGGCCGCCCTGGAGCGAGGCCTCATCGATGTGGCAGGCCACACGATGACTGTGCCCGCCACTGGCGAGCGTCTGTCCCTGCGCCAGGCGCTGGAGAACGGTGAGCTCGTGGTGAAGCATCTGTCCGACTTTGTGGTCACCCAGCGACCCATCCCAAAGACCGAGATCATGGAGACATTGCGTGCCGTGCACACGGTGACCACCAAAACCATTGAACTGATGCAGGGCTATGTGCTCGTCTCCAACAACGAGGTGCAGAACGTAAACACCGGTGAGGTGTGCAGCCTGGAGGAGGCCAAGGAGCAGGGCATCCTGCGTGAGGAAACCACAACGCGTGAGACAAAGGCAGCCGTGGGTGAGGATCCCAGCGTCAGCGTCAGCGTCAGCGATCAGCAAACGGTGGAGGTCGTGGAGGAGCGCACACAGACAGTTGTCGTCAGCTCGGACAGCCACAAGCAGGAGATGCAGGTGGTCAGCACCACAAAGTCTACAAAAGGGGTGCCGGCACTCGCACAAGGCCAATCCGAGGCGAAGGAACCATCGAAAACCCTGCAGAATGTCAAGGATGCCGCCAAGCTCGGCGCTCTGGGTGTCATTGCTGCCCCCGTTCTGGCGGGAGGTGCCATCGTTAGCGGCGTCAAGAGTCTCATCAAGTCTGTGAAGTCTCCCGCAGAAGATGCCAACAAATCCAGCAAGGATAAGCCACAACAACCTCAAGTCAGCTTCATTCAACAGGAGCGTCAGCAGCCCCAATCAATGCCAAGTGATGTCGACAGACTCCTGAACGAAACGGAGACATTTATCAGTACCACAACTGCCAATTTCATAGCCAATGAGCAGCAGCAGCAACTGCCAAGGGAGCAGCCTCAAGTGGAGGTTCCTTCAACCGAATCCGCAGTGGAAACTACAAGCACATTGACCACCACAACAGTCACAACAGTAACTACCTCAAAGACCGCCACGGATACGCCCAGTGAACCAGTGGAGACTGTCCAGGAGGAGAAACCAGTGCCAGTCAAGAGAAAGGAATTGGAAGAGCCAAAGGCAGAGGAGGTTATCAAGGTAACTGAAACGATCACAACAGTGACGACAAAGCAGGCTGACCCAGAACTAAACGATGCAACTCCGGAGAAGTTGAAGGAGAAGCCACAGCCAGCGGTCGAGACAGCAGCTCCTAAGGCAACAACTACAGCGGCTACACTAAAAGAGACAGTTGCAGAGGTTGCACCAAAAGAAACAACTCCCGAGAAGCAACCAATTCCAGAACCTACAAAGGAAGCTTCTCCACAGCCCTCCGAAAAGCCAGAGCCCAAACCAAGGGTCGCTGCAAGGGAAGAGGTGCCCGAATTTGAGCCTCCTTTCACAGCTCCATTGGCGCCCTTTGCCGAACCCTCCACTGACACAGAGACAAAGGTAACCGAAACCATAACTGAAACTCAAGAGCTGCCCACATCAAGCTCCCAAACTGTGACGACAACTGTAAGGACCACAGTAAGAACGATTGAGCAGGAAGTGATTGTGCAGCCAGAAGAGATTGTGGAAGTGCAAGAGGTACAAGAGCCAGAGGATAAATCCAAGGAAGACTCTGCTCTGATTGTCACTGAGAAACCTTCCACGACAGTGGTGGAAGAAAGGGTTGTCACGGTGGAGGAGCCAACGATTACGGAATCCACAGTCACTACCACAACAATTACCACCACGAGCAGCACAACAACAGCATCAACCAGCGAGGAACAGCAGGAGACAGAGCACCAGAAGGAACCAGAGCAGCAGGAAAACATTGTGGTAACAGAAACTATCACAGAAAAACCTGTGGAAGAGCTGGAGCAACCCATTCGGACAACTGAAACAGTCACCACAGAGACAACAATCATTGTCGGTGAAGAGAAGAAGCCTCAAGAGCCAGGACAACTGGAGCAAATAGTTCAGCCCCCGACGACTACGGATAAGCATCAGACAGTTGTCGATTTCATCGAGGGTGAGAAGACACCAGGCAAAGGCAGCAACATTCTGCAGAATGTCAAGGATGCCGCCAAGCTGGGAGCCCTGGCCATTGTGGCTGCACCTGTGCTGGCTGGAAAGGCATTGGTCGATGCACTCACAACAGAATCCACACAATCACAATCAGGGTGGGAGCCACAGGAGAGTCAGACCCAGAGCAGCAGCACAACTACTACAGTGAGGACAGTGACAACCACTTCCACATTAACATCCTCGGAGAGTGCCTCGCCCTATGATGAATCCCGCGATGTTGTGGGTGAGCCATCAGCTCCATCATCATCATCATCATCAGATACAAGCCTCAAACGTGATGTGCCCAAGACACTGGCCATTGGGGATGCCATTTCCCAGAAACTAATCAGTCCCGACGAGTGTCAGGTGATTGTCGATGGGGAGCAGCAAACGGATACAGTGTCCACGCTGCTGCGAGAGGAGCAGCTGAGTCCGCTGGACGAGGTGCAGATCATTGATGACAAGCTGATTGTGCTGCAGCAGATATCGTACCTGGTGGACGTGGACACCGAACTGACGGAGCAAAAGCTGAGCGAACTGAACATTTACGATCCCAAGAATCAGTACTTTATCGATCCCTCCACGGGCCAGAAGATATCCTTCCAGAGTCTGGTGTTTGACATGAACATCTTCAACCCCGAGTGCATTTTGGTAAAGAACTTTAGCACGGGCAAGTACGAAACTTTGACGGCAGCTCTGGAGCGGCCGTTGCTGGACAGGCACACTGGCCACATGGTCGATCCGAAGACAGGGAAGAAGATTCCCTTCTTTGAGTGCATTGCCCGCCAGTGGATTATCCGCTCGAATCCAGAGGAGCAGCGACCGGCGGGCATCGAGACGGTGGCAATTGACGAGGAGACGGGGCAGGTGGTGCTGGACGATGGTCGGGCTTGCTCCATTGTTGACGCCATCAACAGTGGCAAGCTGGACATCCAGTCGATATCGGTGCGCGACCCAGTCAGCGGCGAGGTAATCCCCCTGCGTATGGCAATCGAGTTGGGGGTGGTCGACATGCAGTCGGGCACCGTGATAGACATCCAAACGCTCAAGGAGATACCCATGGAGGAGGCCTTCCAGCTGGGCTTCCTTGTGCCCGGCGCACGCAAGCCCATCTCCCTGGAGGCGGCCGTCCGCAAGGGTCTCTACGACCCGGAGACGGGCAAGCTCTTCGACTCGGAGAGTCAGAACCAGGTGGATGTGCAAAAGTCCATTGAAATAGGTCTGGTCGATCCAAAGATCTCTCTGATCGTGGACACAGTCACCCAGAAGGAGCTGAAGCTGGACTGTGCCATTGAGGATGACCTGGTGCTGCCGGCCACGGGCCAAATCAAGGATAACAAGAACAATACCCTCGTGCCCTTCGACCTGGGCATCGAACAGCGTCTGCTCAAGACGGACAGCGTGACGTGGAGCCTGCCGGAAGTGCTGCAGCGGGAATACTACTTGCCCAGCACCGGCAAGGTGCTGAATCCCGTCACTGGCGAGGAGATACTCCTGCAGCAGGCCATCGAGATGGGCTTTGTGGAGCTGGAGACGACGCTGGTCAAGGATGCCGAGCATGACACAATTGTGCCGGGCAGGGAGGCAGCCAGAGTGGGGCTGCTGGACACGGTGCGAGGCACCCTCAGCTCCCCACACATGAGCCTCGATGAAGCATTCGTCAAGGGCTATCTGATTAGCACAAAGAAGCCACTGTCGTTGGTCGATTGCCTGCTGCGTGGTCTGTACGATCCTTTGACAGCCACCTTCAACATCGACGAGGACGACAAGCAGCTGGACCTCAAGTCCGCCATTGCCAAGAAGCTCATCAATCCCGAGGAGCTGGTGCTGCTCGATCCGAAGACCGAGTCGATTATCTCGATAACCGAAGCCATTGCCAAGGGCTATCTGGATCCCATTGGGGGCTATGTGATCAATCCGTATGCCTCCACCAAGCTGTCACTCCACGAAGCTCTCGAGAATCGCATCCTCATTCCGGCCAAGCGCAAACGCAGCCTGCCCGATGCCGTCTACCGGGGTCTATACGACCCGAAGACTGGCCAATTCAGCAACACCATCACGAGGGAGAAGCTCACAACCGAAAGTGCCATTCGTAGGGGTATACTCGATCCCGATTCGACGGTCGTCCACCTGCAGTCCGGTCAAATTATTCCCTTTGGCGTGGCCGCCGATCGGGGGATCGTGGACAGCCAGCAGGGCACAGTGAAGGACGACGAGGACAAGGCCATTGACTTCAAGGAGGCCTTCGATAGGGGTGTCCTGCTGGAGACCAAGAAGCCACTGCGCCTCATAGAGGCCGTCGTGAAGAATGTCTACGATGAGGTGGACGGACACTTTGTCGATCCCAAGTCTGGCGAAAAACTGAACTTTGCCGAGGCCCTCGACACCAATCTGCTGGACGAGCACAGCGTTCAGATACGCGACTTCAAAACGGGCCTGTACAAGCAGCTGAACCTGACGCATGCCAAGGATGCGGGCATTATCGATGCCCAGAACTCCAAGCTGCTGTACAACAATCAGACCATGACCCTCAAGCACGCCTTTGACATTGGCATTCTGATGGACGTGAATGCTCCCATCAGCCTACAGCGGGCCATCCATCAGGGACTCTTTGACGACAAAACTGGCAAGCTGAGCGATCCCCGCAGTGGTCGACAAATCACGCTGCTCGAGGGTATGCGCAGCTTCGTCATCAATCCCCATCTGCCGTGCTACTTTGACGAACAGACAGAGCAGCTGTACAGCCTCAGCGAGACCTGCCGCATGGGCATCATTAATCGCAGGGAGGGAGTCTTTAGGGAACCGGACAGCAGTAGCTTTGTGTCTCTGGGAGAGGCCCTGAGTCTCGGACTGATTGTGGACATTGAGAATGCCGGCTTTGGGCTGTACGAGCTGCTCTCCATGGGCTTCTACGATGTGGCCACGCGCAAGGTTCGGCATCCGGTCACCGGCCGCAAACTGAACCTGAACGAGGCCTGCGTGGAGGATGTCGTCAGCCTGTCGTCCAGCCTGGTCAAGCACCATGCCACAGGCAAGTATCTGCGGCTGGCCAATGCCATCAAGGAGCAGCTGATTGACGATTCGAGGGGTTGCTATAATCTGAGCAGCTCCGAACAGATCGATCTGCAGACAGCCCGGGCACGGGGACTCATCGTTTCCAACCGTCGCCTGCTGAGCCTCGAACTGGTGCTCCGCCAGCAGCTGTATCGCCCCGAAAAGGGAAAATTCTGCGATCCCACAACGGGCGAGTATCTCGACCTCATCGAGGCCATTCATGCCGGGTTCATAGATCCCACGACCACCGTGTTTAAGAACCAGCTCACCGGCAAAGAGCTTCCGCTAACAGAAGCCATTGAAAACGGGGACATTGACGTGTCCAAGGGCCGCGTATTTGATCCCAAATCGAAGTCCGCATACAACTACGATGTGGCACTCTCGCGCGGTATACTCGTGACCATTGTACGTCCTCTAACCGAACGCAGCGAGGTTGTCCGTCGACAGGACAGCGTCGAACTGCTGAGCCAGACGCCCGTGAGCGTTGTGATCAGCAAACCGCGCGAAATGTCTCTCGAGGAGGCCATTCGGTATAATATAATCGATCCCAAGACGGCGCTTGTGCGCGACTTTGATAGCTTTAAATTCCTGCCGTACGCGCTGGCCCAGGAACGCGGTCTCGTCGACACCACCAAGCGCACACTCGTCGATCCGAAGGCCCTTTACTTTGCCTTCGATCCCACGCTGATTGTTTATGTGCGAGAGCCGGTCACCTTTGACCAGGCGGCCGAGTCCAAGAGCCTGGATTTGGCAACCGGAATGCTGAGCTATTTGCCAGTCGGAGGATCCACCGCCAGCAACGGCAGTGGCAGCAGTGATGACAGCGCAAACGATTCACTGACTGTCATCGAGACGCCCAGGGTATACACGCTCAAGGAGGCCGCCAGTGCGGGCATTGTGGATCCCGATTCAGCCCTGGTCAAGGATCTGGCCAAGGCGAAGTTAGTCCGTCTGCCAGAGGCCTTCCGCAAGGGCCTCATGGACGCCAACAAGGCCAATGTGCTGAACACACAGACCTCCAAGCTGTGCACCCTGCAGGAGGCCTACGAGAGCGGCCTGATCTGCACGCCCAAGCGTTCCTTCGGCCTGCTCGAGGCCATCACCTTCAGCCTGTACAATCCCACGAACGGCTGCCTGGTCGATCCCTTCCAAATGCATCCCGACATCATTCGACGCAAGAAATTCACACTGGCCGAGGCCATTGCCTCGGGCCTGGTGGATCCCTCCTCGACAGTGGTGCGAGATCCCAACTCTGGGGTCATTCTGCCACTGGCGGCTGCCATTGGCAGCGGCCTGATCGATGCCACCGCGGGCCGCCTCACCATCAGCGATGCCCAAGAGCCCAAGCAGAACATCGATCTGGTCAGGGCTGCCGAGAAGGGTCTGCTACTGCCAGCCGAACAGAGGGTAAGTCCAAGTCTAGTCCAACGTTTGACTTTCCCATCAATTTCCAATCACAAACCGATCGCTCGAGATCACGGAAATTACAGCAAAATAGCCAAAATTTACTCTAAATCTAAAGCTTTGTTCGTGGCATGACGTTTTTTTTTTTTTTCCTTTTTGGTATTACTTTACGAATATTTTGATCAGCGCGCTGTCTCTATCTAAAATCTATATCTAATTCTATATCTCATCAGACTAACCCAAAACAAATGTGAGGGAGAGAGAGAGAGGGCTTCCTTCCTTCAACTGTTTAGTTGCTGAAACAGTTTCTCTTTGTTGTGCAAATCATATTTATTATTATATATTATTTTGCATATCTCTTATATTGCAGCGCATGGCATTCAGTTTTATGTTCTATACTCGATACTCGTATACTTTCCGCTGGGCTGAGCTCCTCTCACGCTTTAAGCAGCCACAGATCACAGAATAAATAATGTCAGCAGATCACATACCACATCCACAGATCACAGATCACTGATCACTGATCACAGATCAGATCCATCCATAAATCGTTATATCGGGCCAAAGAAAATGCGTCGTCTCATACTCCTCCAAACATAAATGACGTCGGCAATAAGACAACATACCTAAACAATCAAGCAATCAATCAATCAATCAATACTCTATTCTCTATATATACTCTTACTGTTCTATTCCATCGATTTGTCTTTAACACTAGCATACAATTTTCTTCACTTGAACTCTCGCACACACACCACATCCCATCCCATGTATCCCATATTCATAACCATACCAAAGGCAATTTAATAATAAGATGTGTAACGAAATAGACCCAAAACTGGGCATCCACAAGGTCTCTGCACTTTGTTAATGGATTCAGGAGAGGTGAATAGCATTTCGTACAGCAGCACTCTCTCATCTCTCGTGTATGTAGATCTTATTAGGCATCTTATTATTGAAATGTCTTTGCCCATTAGCCATAATTCTCGTCGCATTTCTATATTCTATACTCTACTATCCCCCAATTCGTATATCCTAGGGAGTATCTTTATCAGATCAGATTTCCAACCATACTCTCGGTTTACAGTCTAATCTGAGTGTTTAGTTTCTATCTTTTGCTCTTAGTTTTGGACTAGGGTAATATTCTCTTTACTTTCCACCCCCGCCCAATCAGCCCGGAAAGTAGCTATTATTTATTCATAAATTTTGTTTAAATGCCAACTTTTCTACCTATTTTTCAGCATTTATACCATACATATATATATATATTTTTTATAAATATTATTTCGTTTGCAGTTTTTTATTTGAAAATAAAACTAAAAGATACCAAAATTAACCCTAACCGATAAAACCCCATAAAAACCAACCAACAAACAAAACTGAAACCAAAAACCAAAACCAAAACCATTAAACTGTAGTTAGTGCCTACTAAAAGTAGTTCCCCCACCCACCCAAACTAGTGCTTGTTCCTAGTAGTTAGTAGTTGAAGCAGTAGTACTTGATAATATTAAGTAATCATTTGGTGTTTGTGCGTCTTTTTTTTTTATTTTATGGTTTATGTTTAATGCTTTTTAAAACCCGCTTTTGCCTCAAGTCCTTTGCTTTTCGGCTGCTCCCACAGGACAAAAAGAAAAATGTTCTCTCAGCTTTTATGTTTGTGTTTCTTTTATGTATATATTTTGTGTTCCATTTATCTATCGACCTATATATATATATATACATTTACATATATATCTTTCAATGATTATCCCCCCCACCAATATATTTTAGCGACCCGTAAATCGAGCTAAGAATTTGTTGCCTTTTTTTCGAACAGTTTTCTAATGATCTTTTTGTATCTCCCTACCGTGTCATGTGTTCGCCTTTTGATCTATATAGCAAGCAGTATTCGAGAAGTTCAACATGTGCGAGGAGAATGTCAACGATCTGCTCAAATGGGTCACCACCGTCGAACAGAAAATCTCAAGTGTTGGAGGACCTCGCGAGAAAATCGATGAGCTACGCAACCAGATCAATGCCCTCAAGGTGAGTGTTTCTCATACTTGATCCTTGCGGACAGCTTTCTAATACCCAATTCTCTGTCACAGCAAATCAAGGACGAGATCGAGTCTCAGCAGCGACCGGTGGCCACTTGCTTGGAGCAAATCCGACAGATTGTGCTCACTGGCGGCGATGTTCTGTCCGCCCCAGAGGTAACCACCCTGGAGAATTCCGGACGGGAGTTGCGCTCGCGCGTCGATCGTGTCAATGATCGCACAGTGCGTCTGCTGCGTCGCCTGGAAGCGGGACGGGATGAGCTCACGAAGCTGCGCAGCGAACTGGATGTGTTCTCCGACTGGCTGCAAATGGCCAGGCGCACCCTCGAGGACAAGGAGCGATCGCTGTCGGATCTGACACGACTCGGATCGCAGGCAGACTCCATTCGGGAGTTTGTCAGCGATGTGATTGGCCATCAGGCCGATCTGCGCTTCATCACCATGGCCGCGCAGAAGTTTGTGGACGAGAGCAAGGAGTTCCTGGGCATACTCAACGATTTCCGCACTTCGCTGCCAGAGAGGCTGCCCCATGTGGAGCCGCTGGCCAGTGCCGAGAGCCCCATACGGCAGGAGGTGTCGCTGGTCTCTGCACAGTACAAGGATCTGCTGAATCGCGTGAATGCACTGCAGGATCGCGTCTCTGGCCTGGGCGGACGCCAGCGGGAGTATCAGGATGCGCTGGACAAGGCCAGCGAGTGGCTGAGGAGCGTGCATCCGCGCGTCTCCCGGCTCATTTCCGAGCCGATTGCCGGCGACCCCAAGGCCGTCCAAGACCAAATGAACGAGGCCAAGGCACTGCACAACGAGCTGCTCTCGAGCGGCCGCCTGGTGGACAACGCCCAGCAGGCGCTCGACAATCTGTTGCGCAGCCTCGGCGGCCAGCTCAGCCCCATGGAGATCAATCAGCTGGAGCTGCCCATCGCCGACATCAAGCAGAGCTACCAGCAGCTGCTGGACAACCTGGGCGAGCACTGCAAGAATCTCGACAAGACGCTCGTGCAGTCGCAGGGCGTGCAAGACGCGCTCGACAGCCTCGGTGGCTGGGTGGGCCAGGCGGAGGACAAGTACAAGCTGAACCTGCGCCCCGCCTCGCTGATCAAGGAGCGACTCCAGGAGCAGATACGCGAGCACAAGGTGCTCCTAGCCGATCTGCAATCGCACCAGGCCAGCATCGATAGCGTCCAGATCTCGGCCAAGCATCTGCTGGCGAGCGCCTCGAATGCGCGCATCGCCAAGAAGGTGGAAGCCAATCTGAACGACGTCACCGGGAAGTTTGAGAAGCTCTACGAAAAGGTGAACAAGCGTGGCGAGTTCCTGGACGATGTCTACGGCCGCCTGAGCCGATATCTGGACGAGATTAGCACCGTGGAGCAGCGCATGGGCAGCCTGCAGGAGGCACTGGACAGTCGCGAGACCAGTCTGCTGTCCACCGAGGAGCTGGCCCGTCGCATGCACGAGCTGTCGCGCGACAAGGATCAGCTGGCGCCACAATTCGAGGATTGTGTGCGCCAGGGCAAGGATCTGATTGGTCTGCGCGATGTCACCGACACCGGGGCCCTGCGGGATCGCATCAAGGCACTGGAATCGCAGTGGCGCAACATCAACATCAGCATCGATGAGCGGGCGAAGCTGTCGAAGCAGAAGGCCGAGCAGCAGCTCGCCTACGAGGGACTCAAGGACCAAGTGCTCGCCTGGCTGGCCAGCACTGAGGCGCGCGTCAACGGCCTGCCGCCGGTGGCCATCGATCTGGACCGCATTCGGCAGCAGCACGACGAGCTGAAGCCCATCTGCAAGGACTATCGCGACTACGCGCCCACCATTGACAAGATCAACGATGTGGGAGCGCAGTACGATGCCTTGATACGGCCCGAGAGCCCCGCCAGGAAACGCTCCACGTACAGCCCGATCAAGCGGACGAGCCCGCTGCGACGCATGTCCGGAGCGGATCAGAACGCTAGGAGCCCCAGCCCCACCAAGGGAGGCATTCTGTCGCCACTATCGACTGGTTCCAGTGGATTCGGTAGCCGCAGATCCTCTCAGGATGGCTTCCAGCTGTCGGAGCTGTCGCCCGTGCAGCAGCAGCTGAGCGAGATCAACAATCGCTACGGGCTGATTGGCGTGCGACTGAACGATCGCCAGCACGAGCTGGACAACCTGAGCGAGGAGCTGCGCAAGCAGTACGAGAACCTCAAGGGGCTGGCCCAGTTCCTCGAGCGCATTCAGCGCCAGGTGCCCAAGGAGTCGGTGTCCAACAAGGAGGAGGCCGAGCGCTGCATCAAGCAGGCGCGCAAGATCCTCGAGGACATGTACGAGAAGCAGAGCCTGCTGGACACCACCAAGGCCCAGATCAAGGACATCCTGCGTCGCAAGTCGGATGTGCCCGGCGCCGAGCAGCTGCGCCTCGAAAACGACGGCATCCAGGAGAAGTGGAAGAATCTCAACGACATCTGCAAGAACCGCATCGCCTTCGCGGAGAAGCTGCGCGACTTCCTCGACACCCACGGCAACCTCAAGGGCTGGCTGGACAGCAAGGAGCGCATGCTGACGGTCCTGGGACCCATCTCCTCGGACCCCCGCATGGTCCAGAGCCAGGTGCAGCAGGTGCAAGTGCTCCGCGAGGAGTTCCGCACCCAGCAGCCGCAGCTGAAGCACTTGCAGGATCTTGGACACGATGTGGTCGATCATTTGGCCGGCACACCCGATGCCCAGGCCGTCGAGATCAAGCTCAAGGACATCATTGGCAAGTGGGAGGATCTGGTGGGCAAGCTCGATGATCGCGCCAACAGTCTGGGCGGCGCCGCTGACAGTTCCAAGGAGTTCGATGCGGCCGTCAATCGGCTGCGCGAGGCTCTGCAGAACATCAGCGACAGCCTGGACACGCTACCCTTGGATGGGGATCACCAGGAGAATCTGCGCAAGATCGAGAACCTGGAGCGACAACTGGAGGGCCAACGCCCGCTCCTGGCCGACGTGGAACAGTCCGCGGCCACGCTCTGCAATATTCTCGGGGATCCTGCCTCGCGGGCCGATGTCAATGGCCGCGTGGCCGCCCTGGAGAAGCAGTACTCGGCGCTGCAGAAGAAGCTGGACACCAAGAAGGCCGAGACAGAGGCCTCCCTGCGGGATGGCCGCCACTTTGCCGAGAACTGCTCCAAGACACTGGGCTGGCTGTCGGGCGAACTCTCGAACCTGAGCGATCGCCTGCTGGTCTCGGCCCACAAGCCGACGCTGCAGCACCAGATCGACACCCACGAGCCCATCTACCGTGAGGTGATGGCCCGCGAGCATGAGGTTATTATGCTCATCAACAAGGGCAAGGATCTGTCCGATCGCCAGCAGGATCGCGGAGTCAAGCGCGACCTGGAGCGCATCCAACAGCAGTGGGAGAAGCTGCGCCGCGAGGCCGTCGATCGGCACACGCGCCTGCAGACATGCATGGAGCACTGCAAGAAGTACTCGCAGACCTCCGAGACGTTCCTCGCCTGGCTGCGCACCGCAGAGGACAAGCTGTCAGACCTGACGCCCGGCGTGCTGTCCAAGGCGAAGCTGGAGACGCGACTGCGCGACTTGCAGACCTTCCGCAGCGAGGTGTGGAAGCACTCTGGTGAGTTTGAGAACACCAAGGGTCTGGGCGACACCTTCCTCAGCAGCTGTGACATCGACAAGGAGCCCATCAAGGCCGAGCTGCAGGACATACGCGATCGCTGGGAGCGCCTGAACAACGACCTAATTGCGCGTGCCCACGAGATTGAGAACTGCTCGCGTCGCCTGGGTGACTTCAACGATGAGCTGCGCAATCTGGATCATTCGCTGGGCCGCTGCGAGGATCGCCTCGCTGCCCACGATGCTTTGGGTGGAGCTGCCAAGGATCCCAAGCTGCTGGAGCGTGTCAAGGCCATACGCGAGGAGCTGACAAACCTGAGCAAGCCCTTGCAGTCGCTCAAGGCTCTGGCCAAGGACATAAGCGCCGAGGCTAGAGCTGCCGGCGGCGATGCCGATCATCTGACCAACGAAGTGGACGGTCTGGCCGATCGCCTCTCGGAGCTGCAGGGACGCCTGGACGATCGTTGCGGTGAGCTGCAATCGGCTGCCACCGCCGTGTCCCAGTTCAACGAGCAAATGAAGAGCCTGGGCATCGACCTGAACGACCTGGAGACGGAGATCGAGAAGCTGTCGCCGCCCGCACGCGAGATCAAGATTGTGCAGCAGCAGCTGGACGATGTTGGCAAGCTTCAGAACAGACTGGACCGTCTGGTGGGTCGCCTCGAAGATGCCGAACGTGCCGCCGATGTCCTGGTGGACGCTGGCTTTGCCGCAGACACCACGCAGACGCGCGAACAAATCTCCACGCTGCGCAAGACGCTCGTCCGCCTGGACAATCGAGTGAAGGATCACGAGGACAATCTGCAGGCTACGCTGAAGGCCCTGCGCGAGTTCTACGACAATCAGTCGCGGACCCTCGACGACATTCAGGACGTGAGCGAGGAGTTCAAGCGCATGAAGCCGGTGGGCTCCGAGCTGGATCAGATACGTCGCCAGCAGGAGGACTTCCGCCAGTTCAGGGAGCGCAAGGTGGAGCCGCTGGCCCTCAATGTGGACAAGGTGAATGTGGCTGGACGGGATCTGGTGCGCTCTGCCGGCACCGGAGTCTCGACCAGCACGATCGAGAAGGATCTGGAGAAGCTGAACGATCGCTGGAATGACCTGAAGGAGCGCATGAACGAGCGCGATCGTCGCCTGGACGTGGCCCTGCTGCAGTCTGGCAAATTCCAGGAGGCCCTCGCCGGCCTCTCCAAGTGGCTGAGCGACACCGAGGAGATGGTGGCCAACCAGAAGCCGCCCAGCTGCGACTACAAGGTGGTCAAGGCCCAGTTGCAGGAGCAAAAGTTCCTCAAAAAGATGCTCCTCGATCGCCAGAACTCCATGGGCTCCCTGGCCAATCTCGGCCAGGAGGTGGCCAATCACTGCGAGCCCTCCGAGCGTGCGTCCATCGAGAAGCAGCTGAACGATCTGATGAAGCGCTTCGATGCCCTCACCGACGGTGCCGAGCAGCGCGAACAGGACTTGGAGGAGGCCATGGAGGTGGCCAAGCGTTTCCACGACAAGATCAGTCCCCTCGAAGTGTGGCTGGACGGCACAGAGCGCGCCGTAAAGTCCATGGAGCTGATACCCACAGACGAGGAGAAGATACAGCAGAGGATACGCGAGCACGACCGCCTGCACGACGAGATTCTCGGCAAGAAGCCCGACTTTACCGATCTGGCCGATGTGGCCGCCCAGCTGATGCATCTCGTCAGCGACGAGGAGGCTGTCAATCTCGGCGAGAAGGTGCGCGGCGTCACCGAGCGCTACACCGGCTTGGTTGATGCCAGCGACAACATTGGCGCCCTGCTCGCCGAGTCCCGCCAGGGACTGCGTCACTTGGTGCTCAGCTACCAGGATTTGGTGGCATGGATGGAGAGCATGGAGAACGAGCTGAAGCGCTTCAAGTCCGTGCCCGTGTACGCCGAGAAGCTGCTCGAGCAGATGGACCATCTGCTGGAGCTCAACGAGAACATTGCCGGCCACGCGTCGAATGTCGAAGCCACCGTGGAGTCCGGCGCCGAGCTGATGAAGCACATCTCCAACGACGAGGCCATCCAACTGAAGGACAAGCTGGACTCGCTGCAGCGTCGCTACGGAGATCTGACCAATCGCGGTGGGGATCTGCTAAAGAGCGCACAGAATGCGCTGCCACTGGTGCAGCAGTTCCACGAGGCGCACACGCGACTCGTCGAGTGGATGCAGACAGCCGAGACGGCGCTGGCACCCAGCGAGCCCCGTCAGGCGGATGTCCTGCGATTGGAGGGTGAGCTGGCCGAAATGCGGCCCATTTTGGACACCATCAATCAGGTGGGTCCGCAGCTGGGACAACTGTCGCCCGGCGAGGGAGCGGCCACCATCGAGAGCATTGTGACGCGCGACAACCGGCGCTTCGACTCGATCGTGGAGCAGATCCAACGCAAGGCCGAGCGGCTGCATTTGAGCAACCAGCGGGCCAAGGAGGTCACCGGCGACATTGATGAGCTGCTGGAATGGTTCCGCGAGATGGACACCACGCTGCGCGAGGCCGATCATCCGGCCATGGAGCCGAAACTGGTGCGTGCCCAGCTGCAGGAGCACCGCTCGATCAACGACGACATCTCCAGTCAGAAGGGACGCGTGCGCGATGTGACCGCCGCCTCCAAGAAGGTGTTGCGGGAGTCGCCGCAGAGCGAGAACACGGCCACGCTGCGCGAGAAGCTGGATGACCTCAAGGAGATCGTCGACACGGTCGCCCAGCTGTGCAGCGAGCGTCTGGGCATCCTTGAGCAGGCCCTGCCCCTGTCGGAGCACTTTGCGGACTCGCACCAGGGCCTCACCGCCTGGCTGGACGACATGGAGCAGCAAATCTCACGCCTGAGCATGCCCGCCCTGCGTCCCGACCAGATCACGCTGCAGCAGGACAAGAACGAGCGCCTGCTGCAGTCGATTGCGGAGCACAAGCCACTCCTGGACAAGCTGAACAAGACAGGGGAGGCATTGGGGGCACTGGTGGCCGACGAGGACGGTTCAAAGATCAACGAGATTCTCGACACGGACAACGCCCGGTATGCCGCCCTCCGGCTGGAGCTGCGCGAGCGACAGCAGGCGCTGGAGAGTGCCCTGCAGGAGTCCAGTCAGTTCTCCGACAAGCTGGAGGGCATGCTGCGGGCCCTGGCCAATACAGTGGATCAGGTGAACCAATTGGATCCGCTGTCCGCCCTGCCGCAGAAGATTCGCGAGCAGATCGAGGACAACGACGCTTTGATGGATGACCTGGACAAGCGGCAGGATGCCTTCAGTGCCGTGCAGCGGGCGGCCAATGATGTCATTGCCAAGGCGGGCAACAAGGCCGATCCGGCTGTGCGCGACATCAAGGCGAAGCTGGAGAAGCTCAACAATCTGTGGAACGATGTGCAGAAGGCAACCAAGAAGCGCGGCAGCTCGCTGGACGATATCCTGAGCGTGGCCGAGCCCTTCTGGAAGCAGCTGAACAGCGTGATGAAGACCCTCAAGGATCTGGAGGAGACGCTCTCCTGCCAGGAACCGCCAGCAGCCCAGCCACAGGACATCAAGAAGCAGCAGGTGGCCCTGCAAGAGATCCGCCATGAGATCGACCAGACCAAGCCAGAGGTCGAGCAGGTGCGCCGTCATGGCAGCAACCTGATGAACATGTGCGGCGAACCCGACAAGCCAGAGGTGAAGAAGCACATCGAGGACCTGGACAATGCCTGGGACAACATCACGGCGCTGTATGCCAAGCGCGAGGAGAACCTCATCGATGCCATGGAGAAGGCCATGGAGTTCCACGAGACACTCCAGAACCTGCTCAAGTTCCTCACCAAGGCCGAGGACAAGTTTGGCCATCTGGGACCCGTGGGCTCCGACATTGATGCCGTCAAGCGACAGATTGAGCAACTCAAGTCGTTCAAGGATGAAGTCGATCCGCATATGGTCGAAGTAGAAGCATTAAACAGGTAAGGACCATCCACCCACAAACCTATCCTTCTTGTATCTCTTCCCGAATCGATTTAAATCTAATATTTTATCGCCCTTGGTTACGTCGCGTCCCCCATCATCGTCGCGTCAATTGGCAGAGGTCTAGAAAGGCAAGAAATCTCAACAAAAATCTCGTTAGTGCCTTCGTTTGTTCGTTCGTTCATTCGTTCGTTGTGTATTTGTTAAGTGCCTGATGACTGATCACTGGATGGATCTACTGAGATCCACTGAGATTGAACCTGAATCGCGCATGTTTGTTTGCAATTGCCACAGAATCACACACAGTGCACGCTCGAGAGAGCGAACTATTATGCCCGGTACTCACATATATTTGGGGGTTAATTTGATTAGGTCTAGATCCTTGGGGACTATAAGAGGTAGAGCAGCCAAATGTTGTGGCTAGACTCCTCTGATTTCACATTAATTCAGTTGAGTCTACAGCCAAAGATCTGCAGCATTCTATCCAAGAATCAGAGAAACTTCCGAATTGCCAACTAGATTGAACCCCTCAAGTTGGAGTTTTGAGTGAGCGAGTTCCAATGGATAATAATTTGTTGTTGGAAAGAAAGAAATACAGAAACCACTAGAATAATCTGCATTAGGTGGGGCAAACGTACGGAGTACCGGGTATATTTTAGTGTCGCGGCACCTGTGTGTTTTGCTTACCCGAGTGTGCACCCAAAGTATTAGTCGTACTTTTACTCTGCCAAACTTTTGCATGAATTGTTCGCTCAACAGATGCGTCTGGCATCTGTACTGCTTTGCTTGCTGTTACTGTAGATGATTTATTGTAGAGGAATCATCTTGCTAATCCCACAACTGATGCCTCCTTACAGACAAGCTGTGGAACTGACGGAACGCACTTCACCCGAGCAAGCGGCATCCATACGGGAGCCCCTGTTGGTGGTCAATCGTCGCTGGGAGGCTCTGCTGCGCGGCATGGTCGACAGGCAGAAGCAGCTGGAGCACGCACTGCTCCACTTGGGTCAATTCCAGCACGCGCTCAACGAGCTGCTGGTCTGGATCGACAGGACAGACGGCACTTTGGATCAGTTGAAGCCGGTAAGAGTTGAAGCTGCCAAAGCCCAGCCAGCGGGGGAATAATCTTTGGTTACTTTCCTTCACAGATACCCGGAGACCCACAACTGCTCGAGGTTGAGCTGGCCAAGCTAAAGGTGCTGGCCAACGATATACAGGCGCACCAGAATTCGGTGGACACGCTGAACGATGCTGGCAGGCAGCTGATTGAGACGGAGAAGGGTTCCGTGGAGGCGTCGACTACGCAGGAGAAGCTTCGCAAGCTGAACAACGAATGGAAGCAGCTGCTGCAGAAGGCCAGCGACCGACAGCACGAGCTGGAGGAGGCGCTGCGCGAGGCTCATGGCTATATATCCGAGGTCCAAGACATCCTCGGATGGCTGGGCGATGTGGACGCCGTGATTGGAGCCAGCAAGCCAGTGGGTGGCCTCCCAGAGACCGCCACCGAGCAGCTGGAGCGCTTCATGGAGGTGTACAACGAGTTGGACGAGAACAGGCCCAAGGTGGAGACGATCCAGGCCCAGGGCCAGGAGTACATCAAGCGCCAGAACCAGATGAAGGTCTCCTCCAGCAATCTGCAGCACACGCTGCGCACGCTGAAGCAGCGCTGGGACGCCGTCGTCTCGAGGGCATCCGACAAGAAGATCAAGCTGGAGATTGCCCTCAAGGAGGCCACAGAGTTCCACGACACGCTGCAGGCGTTCGTCGAGTGGCTGACGCAGGCCGAGAAGCAGCTATCGAATGCTGATGCTGTTTCGCGGGTTCTGGAAACGATCCAAGCCCAGATGGAGGAGCACAAGGTGCTGCAGAAGGACGTGAGCACACATCGCGAGGCCATGCTGCTGCTGGACAAGAAGGGCACACATCTCAAGTACTTCAGCCAGAAGCAGGATGTGATCCTCATCAAGAACCTGCTCGTCTCCGTGCAGCATCGGTGGGAGCGCGTTGTCAGCAAGGCGGCGGAGCGCACCAGAGCTCTGGATCATGGCTACAAGGAGGCGCGTGAGTTCAACGATGCCTGGAGCGGCATGATGCAGTATCTGCAGGAGACCGAGCAGGTCCTAGACCAGATCATCGAGGAGGCCACCGCCTCCAAGGAGCCGCAAAAGATCAAGAAGTACATTGCCAAGCTGAAGGAGACCCATCGCCAGCTGGCCGCCAAGCAGACAGTCTATGACGGCACCATGCGCACCGGCAAGAACCTCATGGAGCGGGCGCCCAAGGGCGACAGGCCCGTGCTGGACAAGATGCTGCTGGAGCTGAAGGAGCAGTGGACCCGTGTCTGGTCGAAGAGCATCGAACGCCAGCGCAAGCTGGAGGAGGCCCTGCTGTTGTCGGGCCAGTTCAGCGATGCTTTGGGCGAACTCTTCGAATGGCTGAAGAAGGCCAAGAGCCGCCTGAACGAGAACGGACCCGTCCACGGCGACCTGGAGACGGTGCAGGGCCTGTGCGAGCACCACAAGCACATTGAGCAGGATCTGCAGAAGCGGGCCGCTCAGATGCAGGGCGTGCTGAAGACCGGACGCGATCTGGAGCGATCGGGCAACAACCCCGAGGTGGGACGGCAGCTGGATGAGCTGCAGGCCATTTGGGAGGAGGTCAAGAGCGCCGTCGGTAAACGCGGCGAGCGCCTCCAAGTGGCCCTGGTCGATGCTGAGAAGCTAAATGCCCGTGTCCAGGCTCTGTTCGACTGGCTGGATCATGCCGAGCACAAGCTGCGCTACGCCAAGAACGCCCCAGACGATGAGAAGGTGTCGCGCGAGATGATGGACATTCACGTGGAGTTCATGAAGGACCTGCGCGTGCGCGAACGCGAGAAGACGGAGACGTTCGAGTATGCCGAGGACATCATTGGCAAGGCCTATCCGGACGCCATTCCCATCATCAAGAACTGGCTGTCGATCATTCAGCAGCGCTGGGAGGAGGTCCGCCAATGGGCCATCAACCGCGAATCGAAGCTGGGGCTGCACCTGCAGTCGCTCAAGGATCTGGACGATAACATTGAGGAGCTGCTGGCATGGCTGACCGGGCTCGAGGGCACTCTGTTGAGTAAGTCACTCGCTACTGCACTTGCCAGTATGTCTAGAAAACTAAAATGTATGCCCTCTTACAGACCTGAAGCACGAACAGCTGCCGGATGAAATTCCACCCGTGGAGAAGCTCATCGAGGACCATAAGGAGTTCATGGAGAACACGGCTCGCCGCCAGACCGAGGTGGATCGCGCCTGCAAGCCGCGCCAGCTGCCACCCGGTGCTCGGAAACCATCCCGCAGCGGCAAGACGCCAGTGTAAGTAGACGTTCCGCTCCCAGAAACATTCTGGCAGCCCAGTGGCTGCCACTGGCTTGTAGTAGCACCGCTGTTGCCGTACCTCTATCTGTATATATTTATCTGTTTACTATTATTTTGTACATGTATTTACTTTTGCAATTTCTTTTTGTACTTTCTTTTTGTATCCACTCCGCCACTTTATTGCTACAAAATCAATATCAAAATACTCCCCCCGCAACGTCTTGCACACTTTCTCTGCCTATCCAAAACAAAAACCAAACAAAAAACAAACCAAACACCAACCAAATCCAATCAACGATCGATATACAGTCGTGGCTCCAGTCACGATCTGCGTGAACAGTCGCCCGATGGCATGAGGCGTCAAAGGTTTGACCGCAACTTTATACATTCTATAATTTCCGCTACTCGTTATACATCCAATACGCTTACCCGATCGACTCTGCTTACTCACACAAGTATCCAACCCAAAAAAACAAAAAGAAAACACCGCAGTGCCCCACTCCCACCCTCAACCACATGACACTCCAAAGCAGCGTTGGAACTCGACTCCTACCGCTGCTTTAACTATCTCCCGAATGTAGCGCTAAAAACCCGTAGCAGCTAATCCACTACCACCACCAATCATACAAAGCCTGCGCACACACCACAACCTGCTTAATCACTGCTGACAAAACTGTTCACATTGCTCTCAAACTGTAATCTAATCCATGTTTGCCTCTTTCTCTCTCTCCTCTCTCTCTCCCACAGCTTCAAGGGCTCTCGCGACCAGGGACTCAATGCCCGCAAGGGAAGGTGAGTTCTCAACGGCTTACACTTACCAAGTATCTCTGAATAGATAGATTCCGCATGTCTTACAAAATTCACAAAATCAAAAATGAATTTATTTTGTTATTTCAAACTTTACAACTTGCAAATATTTTGGAAATGCTGCGTCTACAACTATTCGAACTATACTATAAATATTTATACCTATATCTATTTGGAAATTTGTGTATTTTATGTATCTGTGCATTGTGTATTTTGTTCGTGTTACTTTACCATATTTTGTTTTGTTTTTGTCTCTTTTTGAATCTACTTTCATCTACGCCTACGTATACGTTGCCTCATATCGCTCGAATATCAATCAAAACTATGCATCTTGCCGCTTTATTTGCCCAAAATCAATGTACAAACCAATTATCTGTGTGCAGTCGTGTCACGCCCACACGTGACACGCCCGACAGAGACCGTCTGCCGCACTACGGCCCCAGATTCTCACCAAGGTAAGTGCCGCCCATCATCATTGAGTGCGCCTCTCACAAGCTGTGCATGTCTAGTGCTCGTGCTTCTTATGTAGTTTCGGATTGGATCATCTCTAGCTCTGTCTCTGGTATTATTTCTCATATGCTGCTCTCCTCCTCCTTTTGTAATTAGCTCAACTGGACCCGAACTTGAATTCCGTTCGCCACGCGCCAAGCTTCTTTGGACCAAGTGGCGCGATGTCTGGATGCTCTCATGGGAGCGCCAGCGTCTGCTCAACGATCATCTGCTGTATCTGAAGGATGTGGAGCGTGCACGTAACTTTAGCTGGGACGATTGGCGCAAGCGCGTAAGTATTCAACAGCCTCAAAGGTACAGCCAGCCCAAACATTATTATTTATGCCACTTTTTGTGCCTGCTTAACAGTTCCTCAAGTACATGAATCACAAGAAGTCGCGCCTGACGGATCTGTTCCGCAAAATGGACAAGGACAACAATGGCATGATACCACGCGATGTCTTCATCGACGGAATACTCAACACGAGTAAGTTGCAAGCAATCATTTATTTGGACTTCATTGCTGATGCCATCAATTTGTTGTAGAATTCGACACATCTGGTTTGGAAATGAAGGCCGTGGCCGATCTGTTCGATCGCAATGGCGAGGGCCTCATTGACTGGCAGGAGTTCATTGCCGCCCTGAGGCCCGACTGGCAGGAACGCAAGCCTGCCAACGACTCGGACAAGATACACGACGAAGTCAAGCGCCTGGTCATGCTCTGCACGTGCCGACAGAAGTTCCGTGTGTTCCAAGTGGGCGAGGGCAAGTACAGAGTAAGTTTGGCCAAGCTACTGCCCAGCCAGCAGAGACTAATGCTTGCCTCTTTTGCAGTTTGGAGATTCACAGAAACTGCGCCTGGTTCGCATCCTGCGCAGCACTGTTATGGTGCGCGTGGGTGGCGGCTGGGTGGCCCTGGATGAATTCCTGACGAAGAACGATCCCTGTCGCGGTAAGTTGCTCGGTTAATATTTCTAGCTATCCAAAAAAACACACCATACTATGTAGTTGTGTTGCGTACACACACACACACATTTTCGAAATTTGTTGAACTTCAACCATTCCATCATCAGTATTCCAGTACCAGTATCAGTCCCAGTCCCAGTCCCAGTCCCAATATCAGTCCCAATTGCATACAAAACATACATACATCCATCCAACCATATCTATTATACTATTCTAGCGTAATCTTGTAGTCCACATCTGAAATCTTAAACATCTTAAGCCACCCCGCATTCCACATGCATTTTGTCCATCCAGATCCAGATGTGCCATGCATCACCCTGATCATCCATACATCTCATATAAACCAAATGAAAATCATATGCATATCACATTTAGGGACAGTTGTGCTTAACAACTAATTATGATTTAATGCTAAATATTAATAATACCAAACGGATATGGTCATTTAACCACAACCAACAACCAACCAACAATCAAAAATATTGTGCCTAAAACAAAAACATAAAAACAACACCCCTTGGAACAATTAGAACAATAAACCTCTAAACAGTTCTGACCATCGATTAAACCTCATTCTACTCGTACTCTACTATATAATTTTGGTCCAAAAGTTGCCTAAAATAAAGCTACAAATTAACAGTCGCGTTTGTTTTTATTGCCATCCAGCCAGCGCCTATGCCGCCTCCGCCTCATACACAATAACCCAAACGAAATCAACAAGCAAAAATCCCAATGAAATCCAAAGCCCAGCCTAGCGCCTTGGACTTAGTCATTTTGCTGTACTCATGCTCATTTATGTCGCTTCGATTCTTAACTGCGTAACAATTGAAATATATGTACTGTGCCCATAAAACTCACCCATAACCACATCCTTCCTGCCTTTCCTTCCTACTGTAACTAGTGTTAGATAGTGCTATTAACGCCTAACTATTATATGTATTACTATTACTCGTAGACCTACTTTAATGCATGATCTTCATTTTGTTAACCCACTCGCTCTGTTGCTATCCAACTAACATTCTGCTTAACAGCTGCAGTCGCGCCTGCTGTTAACTAACAGCACTGTCTAACAGCAGTGCCGTGCCGTTCATGTCACACATTCTATATGTTTGAAGCCGAAGCCTCTCACCAAATTTCGTTGTGCGTCTCGTCTCTTCTCTTGCCAAAATTAGATAACAATTGAATTTTAGTGTATCTGTGTTTTTTGTTTCGTTTTTTACTAATCAAATTTTATGTTTCCCCCTTTTTCTTTTTTTTCCAAATGGTTATTTTCCGTTACTTATTGAACCGAAATACCGTACAATGATTGAATCTGTTGAATAAATGATCCCGATAAATATGCAAACACTTCGCTTGCGCCGCCCACGTCCACGCCCACGCCCACGCCCGATATGCACCCGCCTGTGCCCACAAAACACGAACAAAAACCAAACATAACCAACACTGAAAATACTGTGTCAAATTCTACTCTGCGGTAACGATATTTCGCTGTTATTGTTGTTGTTTGCTTATATGTTCGCCCTACAACAAACATTGACCGAAAACATACTCGTGCGCGCCTGTATCGTGTATGTGTTGTGTGTGTGTGTGTGGTGTCTATATATGTGTGTATATATATGTATATATATATTGTACCACCATGTCAACCGCTACCGCCTGCCTAATGCCACACTGTTACCGCCTCGGAGCAGCCAAGGGACGCACTAACATTGAGCTGCGCGAACAATTCATATTGGCCGATGGCGTCTCGCAGAGCATGGCCGCATTCACGCCCAGACGTTCCACGCCCAATGCAGCCGCCACTGCCACCTCCTCACCCAATGCCCAAAATGGCGGCAGCTCCAACTTGCCGCCATATATGAGTGGACAGGGTCCCATCATCAAGGTAAATCAAAGAACAGAAACATAACGTTACGCGGGTAACGAGTAACACGAACCGAAAGTGTGAAACCGATATTCAAATCCTGGCCCCAATCCTAACCACCACCCCCACCAAACCTTCTCTATCCATCCATCCGTACATCCATTAAGGAAGGGCACGAGGTAAGTGCGCCTTTCGTTTTGGGTTATTTCGTTGTGTGTGTTGTTGACAAAGCAAAGCTCTCGCCAAAGCTGCTGCTGCGCCGCCGACTCTTGATTTGTTGTACTAAGTATATCTGCATGAGAACATTTTCGTATAATTTTACTTGTACGTACCTTTATACTACATACATATATATTGTTGTTGCCTCTCTATTCATTTTTGCGACCTTTTTGAGTTAATGCTAGAGTACAGTACACCCCGTCCAAGCACAAGAGGTTGAGCCATTGAGGTTGTCAGGCGCTAGGCGCTAGGCGCTAGGCGCTAGGTTGTTAGGTTCTTAGGTTGTTGTCCATGCCTTAAATGATCATATGCCGTTTGCCAGCTGCCTTATGCTGTCCAATGTTGGCTAAACGTATCCAAAATTGATTTCTATACATGTAGCTGATGAGCACTTGGCCGAATTAATGCCAATCTTTGAGAAAATCCGTGCACAAGACCAAGTTCCATGCGCCTTTCCCATACACATGGGTGCCGGCGGCACGGTATTCGTCCGATGCAATACCAGCCGCTCGGTCCCGCTGAGTCCACATGTGCTGCATTGTCATCCAACAACACACTGGGTAAGTCCATTGCCCATTGATTGGCGGCGGAGTGAGAGAAGGATGAGCCGGAGAAGCCACAGAAGGAGGAGAATCTCTGAATCAATTCGGTTCCATTTTCAGCGGGTCTAGTGGGGTTCCGATCGTCCATAAAAGATCACAGCTAATCGTTAGCTCTCTTCCACACAGGTTCGCGAGCGATCCGTTCGTTCCATTCCCATGTCGCGGCCATCGCGCTCGTCCCTCTCGGCCAGCACACCCGACTCTCTGAGCGACAACGAGGGCAGCCACGGCGGACCCTCGGGCCGGTACACACCGCGCAAGGTCACCTACACGAGCACACGCACAGGCCTCACGCCAGGAGGCTCTCGTGCCGGCTCCAAGCCCAACTCACGCCCGCTCAGCAGACAAGGATCGAAGCCACCATCACGACATGGCTCCACGCTGTCGCTGGATAGCACGGGTAAGCCTCAGCTGCGCATTTCGATCTTCCAATGGATGCAATTTACATTTTCTTTATATTCCCGCAGACGATCACACGCCCTCACGCATTCCGCAACGTAAACCATCAACGGCAAGCACCGCCAGCGGCACTACGCCTCGGCCAGCGCGACTCTCAGTGACGACCACAACGCCAGGCAGTCGCCTGAATGGCTCCAGCACCATCACCCGTAAAACCGCCTCCGGCTCGGCCAGTCCAGCACCCACAAGGTAGGATTTTGGTGACAGTTGCTCTGCACTGCACACATTTCAGAGTGGGGAATTCAATGGGGAAAGTGGGACACCAATTCAATCAACTCTTATTAATTTATGACTTTTATTTTCCACATTATTTTCGGTTTACCGCATTAACTTTTGAACAACACAACTCACACAAACAAACAACCAACCAAACATCATGAAACGCTAACAAACAACTCCAATTGGCATTTGAAACATTTGAAATTTTGCTTGAACGCAACTAAAACAAAACCAAACAAAACAAAACAAATACAAAAATACCTGCATATGCCCGAAAACAAATCCCATCCTAAAAATAAAACCTAAACAAAATACTCAAAACAGCAACGGAGGCATGAGTAGATCATCCAGTATACCAGCACTAACAGGCTTCGGCTTCAAAGCAATTAGGTAATACCGCTCCCAACACTTAACATAATTACAAGTTCATAAGCCTAGGCTAGACATAAGACATATCAAGAGATAGCGCAGGATGATCGATCAGTGGTTATGGTTTATTATATAGATATATGCTAACTACTCGTATTGTTGTACTTACCATCCCCACACCTAAAGCCGCCCATCACGGATACCGATTAAGATACCCTCATTCGATTCCAAGTCAACATCGCCCACCAACTCGACTACGAATCCAACCAGCTTGGGGTAAAGTTGATAAGCACTCAAGAAAGACATTTACTAGCAAATTTACAACTCTATCTATAGCAAGTAATTATTATCTAATTAATGTTGTTTTTAAGTTATTTGTACCTTGATTGTTGTGGACGCTTTCCGAGCATGTCGAATGTCGGAACTGTTAATGTGCGCATGCCACTGCCATGAAAACAACCAGCAACAAAAGCTTTCAACTAATGCTTTACTTATCTAAGATTTGTTTCTAGACTAGTATTACTTTTGTTTCTGTTATTTGTTTGATTTGGAAATCATTTGTTGAATCATTTGACTAACTGATTTATTTTTACCATCTCCTGCCTGTAGGCGGAACATCAGCGGAAGCTCGACCCCGTCGGGTATGCAGACACCGCGCAAGAGTTCGGCGGAGCCGACATTCAGCTCGACCATGCATCGCACAGCACGAGGCACCACACCAACGGAGAAGCGCGAACCTTTCCGGCTCTAGGATGGCTAAATGAGTAGAAATATGGAGACGAAGAATGCCAATATTTAAACCCTACACACAACAAACAAACTTATGTACTAACTACGCACTGATGTTCTAAACTAAACTAAACCCCGCTCCCCAATGATCGTGAGAGAGACTACATTAGCAATGAATGTAGCAGGAACACACACAGCACAGAGTTCTGTGGAGACTTACTTTCAAGTGCCCGTTTATACCACTTACGAGTATAGTATATATTTTGTAAAAGACACATACGTACATATGTATGTATGTAGAGGATATGTGGAAGATGCAGACATACATATAGCTAGCACACAAAGTTGATCGGAGAAGCAAGCAACCTACTTACGAGTACTACTAATACAAATACTACACTACCTTTTGCTACTACTAATTTGTAATGTCCACTACCCCCCTCCCATTCACTAGTTATACATGTTTCCAAAATTATAATTTGTATATACTTATAAACGAAACGACGAGAAAACAAGCGTAAATTAATGAAAAATACACTCCAAGTGCTCCAAGGCAAGTAAAAAAATTACAAGAATTAATTCTAAAATTAAAAAAAATATATCGAAAAAAAACCACATTCGAATGAAATGTCGGGAGCTCTGTGGCAAACCTTTCTGTGTCTATGTGTCACCATTAAAATCGCCAGTTTGATGGTCCACTAGCCAGCTAGGGGCGTGGCAGAGTTCGTACGGCCAGAAAAATAACTAAAACACATTTAAGAGAGAAAAATTTGATTTTGTTCTGTTATTAAACTAATAGGATTGTGAAAAGTGTAAGCCGCATAAAGAAAATATTTAATTATATACTAAAAGTCATTACTATAAGTTTAATTAATATTTAACTGTTAAGTGAAAAACACACACGTACTACAAACAAACAAACACACACACCCACACCACACACACACAGATTTTGTATTGCATAATTATTTTGTTTTTGATATATGCAATTGCAACGCAACGAAAGTGGGAGAAATCGAAGCGAGTTGCGTCCCTCCCTTTATATAAATATTGTAAAATACTAATACTAAATTATTTTGTTGTACGAATCGAAAGAAAATGCATTAAACACGTTTTTTGTAATTCTATTAAATTAAAACAATTTAAATGAGAAATAAAATTTACAAAAAATATAACATAAAACCATGATTTGTACGTACTTAATATTTGATTCCTGTTTCCCCGCTTCACAGTAAAAGTTCGCTGCTTATTCCATGCTTTAGGTAGTTGATTTTATTCGTTATGGTTCCAAATCGTATTATTTATTTGACACATTGAAATTGAATTTTCGATACCCGAGTATGACTGTACACGAGTATAACCTTCGTCGATCCGTGCGGATGTCGGTACGGGTATTTTTATCTACACAAACACTCAATTAATTACAACATTTAATTTGTGCATGGCATGCACAGTGCATTTCACTGTCTCTGTCATATAGTCTCGGGCCTCATCTGACATCTGACTTCCCTTCCTTTTGCTGACTGACTAGATGGGGGTTCGTGGTTGGTTCCAACTTCAAGTATTTATGATGCTAGCGACTGCTAGATAGGGGGAAGGGGGAGATAAATATTTATCCTAAACATTGAGGGCAACTGCAGAAGAGTATGCGATGCGTATGGTAATATCAATATCAATATCAGTGTCTTCTTGGCCATCGTGTCTTTTGTATCGTATCGTATCGTATCGTATGGTATGGAGTGCTTTCGTCAACGCCAGCGCTGCCAGTGGTGCTGCTAAATACATGCTTGCTTTACTCTCTAGCTATCAAACCTAGTCATCCTCATCCTCATCCTCATTCTCATAATAGTAATCGTAATATCGTCTCGGCATGGTGCCGCAAGTCTTTTGCAAACCATTACAAATATCATTATAGTTAATATACAACTAAATATCAATGTTAATAGAAAATTAGCTAACCCGGTTCGCTAAAGCTAACTAAACATAAATACGACCAAAAAAAAAACATTCACAGAAACGAGTGCGCCTCACGAAACGAAACTTAAAAGAATCTGCTCTGTCTGGGATGGTGCTGGATTGTGTATTAGCAGCATGGCAACGCAATGGGTATCCGGAGCCGCATCAGTTCTGGAAGCCATTGTCACCTGGTAGGGCCAGAGCAGGCAGACTGAGACTTTGCCTGCTTTCCTGTCCCTGTAGTTGCGGCACTGCTGGCGCCCGAAGTGCCTCCAGTTGCGGCCGGGATTGGCTCTCGATCGCGATCGGCACGATGGTGGTGCCCATGGTGCTGATGGCGTCTGTTGCCGCGATAGTGACGACGATTATGATGCTGATAGTTGTTGTTTGTCGGCTCTGTCATGACACGATGCGTCTCCTGCACAACGGGTGCAAAAGTAGAGCTGCTTGTGGGTTTGGTGGCTTCGTCCTTGGCTGGTCCCTCCAACTTCCTAGCGGCCTCCGCCTCTTCACGACGACGACGACGCCGTACATCCTCCTCCGTCTCAATGGAAATGACGGCAGCACTATCGGCCTTTACATCAATGATGGCTCCACGACTCTTTTGCTGCAGATACAGCTGTGACATGCGGTGCTGCATTTCCCTGAGCTCCTGGGTCACTTTGAACTCGGGAGCGTTGATAAGCTCTGAGGGCGGCATGGCGCACTTCAGACTGTCCGACTCGTCGCTGATGTGTTCACGACAAACGGGGCACAACGCCTGGAAGGGATCAGCCGTCTTCTGCAGCCAGGCGGGCAGCTTCTCAAACTCCTCCTGGTAGTTGCGCCGCAGTGCATTCAAGTGCCTGGCCAGGCAGTAGCTGTGCAGGTAGTGAAAGCACTCGGTTCGAGTGAACTCGTCTCCCTCGGCGAATCCATACAGGCAGACCACGCACTGTCCGCTGGGCAGGTTGCTGCCAGTCAGATGCTCCCGCACCACCTCAATCAGGTCGAAGACGACGGGGAAGCCCAACGATTCCTTGATCTTGTCATTGCAGGCGGTGCGTATGGCCTCCAAGCGAGCGTCGTCTAGCCCCCGGGGTCGAAGCAGTTTAAATGTGGGACTGGCGTCTGGGTAACCCGGCGTCGGCTGAACCTGCAGCGTAACACATACGTACTGCTGCTCGGACTCTTCTCCAGTCAGGGGAAGAACTGTCGTCTCGATTAGGTCCACGTCGCCGCTTATGTTGGAAAGTAATTTCTGTGTTTAGTAGCATAGAGATTGGGTTTTCAGATAACCTACCTGGCAGAGCGCTTGATGCAAACATCCTCCATTAGAATTGCCTCCAGCGATTCCACCTCGTCTTGTAATCTGTGGGAAAACACTTGCCGTTAATAGAAAGCCGCTTTGCAAGCAATTTTCATTCACTTACGCGTCCATTTTATTCGGTTTTTTGTGCAGAATTTGAGTATTTTTGAGTTTTAAAAAATCGATTTGAGACACCAGAACAGTGTGACCGCGGATTAATCGATACAATATACCGCATGACCCTCAAAACTATACCTTCTCATTTTCAAAATATACCGTAAATATACCGAATCATAAATCATTTTCCACGATTTGGATATTACCAGCTGGTTGTGACTCTCAGCGCTAATGCTATTATTTTCTGCGATTGTTGAATACCTTGTCTGTGGACAGAGAGGCTTAGTTTTCCATTATTTTGCTACTCAAGGAACACCGTGTGACCGTCCGAACATGTTCTGGGTTCTATCTCAAAAATACCAAAAACACCAAACACATCAGAGTGCTGCCCAAAAGAATGCAATGGAAACTATAGTCTTGGCGCCCCATTCACACGATTTTCAAAGTTTATCTTGCAATTGCCCAAACTCTTAAGTACTCTTCTGTATATTATTCCTACACTCTCTCTTGCTCTCTTCCGTAGCTCTTCAAACTACCCCAAAAGCAGAGCAGCAGCGGCATTTTGGCAGCTTTCAACCCCCTGCTGGAGTGAGTGCCACGTGCTTCCCGTAGCTTTTGGCCTCCTTTCACACACACAAGCAAACACACACGCACACTGGCAGCAATCAATGAAAGTGAAGCTTTGCCCAAATTAAACAGGGGACCACTCTGTTCACATGTGAAAAATTTCCATGCACTCGGACGTTTATCCTGTGGCCCGTCGTCCTGCGTCAGCGCCCGTGGCCGTCTCTCGATTCTGGTGGTGGTGGATTCTCGCACGGCTTTTCACCACGGCAAACCAACGGCGCTCGAGAGCTTCTGGCTGGCTGGCTGGCTGGCTGGCAGTGCTAACACGGCGCCAAGCGTTTCGTTTCACTTTGTAACGGAAAGCTCAAACCAACGGTCGTGTCGTGAAAATTGGGCAAAGCTCCGTGTGAAAACGCTGAAATTCCTCGAACGAAATTGATTTGTGCGTGTGTGTGTGTCTGTGCTTGCATTTGATCGGAAGCAAAAAGTATTAGAAAATTGCAAAGTGCATTTTGGAAATTCACGGCCACACATAAAAGGTTTTCCAAGTTGCCAAAAACGTTGTCTGGAAGGGAGCGCGTGTATCTTAGTGTCATTGTGTTTGTGCCTCTCTCTGGGTGTGTGTGTGTGTGAAAAATCCGCCCTTAACAGCAGCCAGAGCCAGCAAGGATCCCCGAAGCTAAGCCAAGTCAAACTTTGGTACGGAACGGTGGTACGCCAGCTAGCACTGCCTCTCCTGACGTGTCCTGCGCACTCACACACACAACGTAAACTTGTTTCCCTATCTCTCTCTCCCAGTCCCACTCCCACTCCCAGTCCCAGTCCCATTGCCATGCTCCTTCCGAGAACTTGTACATAATGAGCGACGCTCGTATTTGTGAGGCACGTGGAATTTCCAGTGACAACAGTTTATGCAAATTGCTTTCAATTGTTTCGTGCCCTTCACGCCAACCAAAATCTGCATTTCTGTGCATTCGCAGTCGCAGTTGCAGTCGCAGTCGCATTCGCATTCCAATAAAACCAAGCAAATGCGAAAATGCATCAAAACCAATGCGACTGTAACACGACTTTTGCACGTTGGTAACGAGCAGGAAAAAATTCAGAGTGCACACATGCAATCCATGTGTAGCACACAATAGGAACAAAATAGAACTACATTTTGGCAAGATTTCAGCATCAAGCGATTAATCATGTGGCGGCGAGTCAGCGAACGCAAAAGCAAAATTTCAAATTGATTCTTTATGAGATATGAGCATCAATTTATGAATTTGTAAACTTATAAACCAATTTCCGTAGAACTTACCGCAGGCCACTCTTGGCGCTCTCTTTCTTTCTCTCTCTCTCTCTCTCTCTCTGCCTCCCGCTGCCTCTTCCATGTGGCAAAGTGAAATTGCATTGAGGCTGGCAATGGCATTGGCTGAGGGGTTGTTTTAGCCAAAAAGCTCAGAGCACCCATCCGCCCCTTTATTTAGCTCTCATCCTCAACAGCCCAACGGTTGATGCTGTGCCAAAAAGCAAGAAATTGAACTTTGTGCCTGTCCGATTGCATTCCCGCCTCCATGTGAGCTAGAGTGAGAGCGAAAGTTGTATATGTACACGGGGGGGGGGCATGTACATATGAGCACTGGCATAGAAGGCATTTTGGCAGCCAGCTTGGGCAGGCCGCTCCTTCCTGTATAATTAATCTTTTCTCTTTGTTTTGCTTATTTATTGATTGCTTTTGTTGTGGAAAAGGTAACTCCTTTAGTTAAGAGTTTAGTTCCAGGAGGTTCTTTTCATGTGAATTGCGATATCTTATTTTATTAATTCTTACTATTACTATTGCCCGTTTGATGGGAGCTCGAATTACCTGCCACTGCCCGTCCGCGCGCCAGACATCAGCTGCGTTTATTTACATAATATTTCTTGCAAAAACAAACCAACATGCTCCTTGGTTCTCGAACGAATGCAGCCCAAGGTTAAGGCGAATCTGAAGCGGTGTCCGATTACAAAGGGAATGGCGGGAGAGCGGCACTTCCAGACTTGCAGACTGACTCGGCAGCAACCACCCACCAATCTTTTTCGGCCACTTTTCGACTTGGCGCCAAACGAATGGCTGAAACAATTACTTCCATTAAGCAGGGCGAGTGGAGCTGTCGAGAGCAAAGAGAGAGAGAGAGCTTCCCCTCTGGCCCACTCGCTGCACTCTGAGCAGATCCCAAAATAGCCGCAAATATGGTATTATTAGTTCTGGCATTTGAAAGTCTCCTTCATGGGCAAATTTCTGTGCGGGTTTATTTCGCATCACGAACAAAAGCCAATAAAATGTGCAAAATCGATTGCATAAAGAAAACAAGCAAATATTTCATTGGCAATCAAATTGCATGATTTATGCAGAATAGAGAAACACACAGCTGGTCGTCCACCGTCCACCACTACTTTCCTATTGATTTGGCTTGGAATCCACACGCCATGTCCTCAGATTCGTGTTCCTTAATCCCGCCTTACCTCAGTACTCTAACTGGGGAATAAGCTGCCGCTCCTACCCCAAACACCAGGTCGGGTTTGGAAAGGGGATGAACTTGTTTTTCTTTTTCTTTTTATTTTTACATTATTTTTTGAACGACGCAATTCCGTTTTGTCCTTTTTGGCGGTGCTTTGTTCACAGCCGCAGCCGTTTTTATACCTGTATATATTTGTATCTGTATTTGTGCACACAAATAGAATGTGTATTTGCGCTTCTATGTGTTGGGTAGATGGATAGCTTGGTAAATTTCCATTCATTTAAATTTCGCTTGTTCATTGTTGGCTGTCTTTGAAACAGAGTCACAGAAACAGAGCCAGAGCGAGAGCCAGAGTGAACCAGTTGTTTCAGTGGCAGTGACGTTATATAAGCGTGCGAAGCAGTGCAACTTCACTTACATCCTGTCAAATTCAATCAAACTGATTCGGTTTGTGCTTTCATTAATCTCAGCGCCTCAGTGCGCCCCCTCATTGAGCAATTTCCTTTGGCAATGATTTAAGCATTGTGTTTCAGTTCACTAAGTGGGCTAAACCGTTCCAATGACAGGGCCAGGGTCGTTCTCCGTCCGTGTCCGTGCACGGGGGGGGGGTCCTGTTTGAGCTTTATATTTAGAAATGCCGGCGGCGTGGGCGCGTGGGGTTCGGTGTTGCTGGTGTGCTGTTGATGTGGCTGTGGGAATATTGCGACGCAAAAAGCAACAGCAATCACAGGACCTTAATATTTCCACACACAGGTTTACGTAACATCAATTGGATTGTGTAATCAGCAGGCGAGACGCAACGAGAAGCAAGTGGCCGCACGCAAGCAAAACAAATGTTGCTGTGCTGTGAGGCAGGGACGTTGTGACATTGAACGCATTGCACGCTCCAAGTCCTTTTATTATCCATCCACTCTGTGCCACATCGTGTGGAGGAAGGTTTCAGTTTCTGTGCCTGCTGGTCTGCTGGTCTGCTGGTCTGCCATCTAATCAGTTTTAACGAGCTTGTGGTGTCATTTTTGGTCTGAGCTTTGTGCACTTTGTGCATCCACCAGACACATATCCACATATCTGCCTGCCACACACACACACACCCACCCACACGGAGGTGGGTGCCAGCCATGGGGCTGTCTGTTCGATGCCACAAACCCGATTGTGGAATAAGTCAGCCATCAAAAGACGTCATAGCGCATTACGTATTCGCAATATAATGAAGAATAGAAAAGGAATGAGTGTATATAGACTGGGATCCGTATCAGTGTGTGCAAATGTACATAAAACGCTATCAATGAAGCGGCAGGACGCCAAAAGCTCTCTCTCTCTCTCTCTATGGTGGAATACGAATCTGCTTCTTGCCACACAGCTGCTGCCCCGACAACACCCAGAGAGAGAGAGAGAGAGAGAGAGAGAGAGCTTAGGGCTTTCCTACGTCAGCACTCGCAGCAGCAGCAGCAGCAGGGCAGAGACGAGCCTCCAAGTAAATAAGCTAAAAAATACATGAAAATGTACGAGTACATAGTACATAGTACATGCCCACCCCCCCTTTATGTACTCGCCAGTTACATGTACATATGTATAGGGAGGGAGTGTGTTCTAGTCTCGTGTGTTCTTGCTCTTTTCTCATTGCTCTTTCTGTTTGCAACGACCTTCCGCGGCAGTCAACAAAATTTGGCCCTCCACATTGAGCAACAAGGTTCAGGAAGTCACGATTTCTCGTCGCTCAACTATTCAATGAGAGGGGTGGAGGGGTCGCTGGTTCAGTGACACTCCAACCGCGAACTGATTCATGCCAGTCCTGAGGCTAGGCTCTGACTGCAGGATTAGTAGTTCCAAGAGTTAACCGGCGTTTAAGTTGTATATTAAGCGGCAGGGCGGAGAGAGATTAACGGGCAAAGCAATATGAGAAAACTTTGTGAACTATGCAGAAGCGAGCAAGCAGCCAATGCCCAAAACTTTTCAACTTAATTTTGCCATAAAATAAGGCTTAATGGATGGGGCAGTGCCATCGAAATGTTTCCATTAACCAGAGGGAAAGCAGGCAAGCAATTAGGACGCAAATTGAGTTAGCAGCCACTAGAAGTGCTCTCAAGGACGCCCCCCCCACACACACACACACACACAGCCATACATATATGTACACCCCATACACACCCATGGCACACCCTCGAGAAATATTGATCAAACAGTGGGGGAAATCCTTGTATTTTTGATGTACATATTCTAATCGGGTGATTTAATTTTGCAGAAACCACGGCGCGACTTGCAGCACCCGAACGTTGATGGCTGCCACCAAAATCATCGATGCACCGCGCAACGGCCACGAGATGGCGCCACTGAACACACGGGCACGGGGCGATGGCACCCACGGGGTGACCATCGTCCTGACCGCCCCGCAGCGCAACTCGGTGCAGTCGGTGGACATACCGGGCGGAGACCCAGAGCGCGCCGCCTGGAGCGGCAAGATGCAGTTCTTCCTCAGCATCATCGGCTACTCTGTGGGCCTGGGCAACATCTGGCGCTTTCCCTACCTGTGCCAACAGAACGGCGGCGGTGAGTAAGCCCTCATGGAGTGTCACATGTCTTCGCTGTTCCCCAGCTGGTTCGGATTAACCAAACTGTCAGCAACTGTTACAGAATTGCATGTTGCTGCAGTTTTTGCTGTTGTCTGCAATTCCAATCAATGTCTGCACTCCACACCACTGCGGTGTCACCTGTGTGTGCGATAACACTAATTATACAGACTGCAGGTGGCTACTGTCCCTCTCTGTCTCTCTCTCTGCCATATCCAATATCATGTGGCCAACGAACTGCACACAACAATAGCTAATAAGTGCACAGCGTTGAGAATAACATTATGGGCTTTAATGTGCACTAATTGCATTGCTTTATCATCGCAACTGGCGATTGCCCGGAAAACCCCAATTGTGGGTGGGTGGCTTGTGGAGGCCCCACGCACATTGCAGCCTCCGCTCGGGTTTTAATTCAATTGCAAATTACCGAGAATGATTACCAACAGATTCCTATGTAAATGATTAAATTCCTTTTGAGCCGAATCAGCAGAAAGCAGCCATGGAATGCCAGTGGAAATGCAAATGCAAATGCAAATTGATTTCATGTCACGCGTCACTCAAGCTCAATTGGACTTAGACCTAATCCCGCATGGTGGGCGCTCTTCTTGCAGGTGCATTCCTGATACCGTTCATGATTATGCTGATACTGGAGGGCATTCCGCTCTTCCTCATCGAACTGGGCATGGGCCAACGCATGCGGCTGGGCGCCCTGGGTGTGTGGAACACCATCCATCCATGGCTGGGCGGCATCGGCATTTCCTCCTGCATCGTGACGCTCTTCGTGGCCCTCTACTACAACGTAATCATCACGTGGGTCTTCTTCTATCTCTTCAACAGTTTTCGGGTAAGTTGCCACCCAACACACCCACACACCCACCCTTAGCTATGGTGTAACCTTCTGCCTTCTGCCTTCTGCCAGTACCCACTGCCCTGGTCCAGCTGTCCGACCAATGGCACTGGCTTTGTGCTTGAGGAGTGCGCCAAGTCGTCGGAGACAACGTACTTCTGGTACCGCACCACCCTGGATGCCGCTCCGTCCATGGACGAGCCCGGCGGCCTCAAGTGGTGGATTGTGCTCTGCCTGATGCTCTCCTGGACCATTGTCTTCTTCATCGTGATGAAGGGCATCCAGAGCTCCGGCAAGGTGGTCTACTTCACCTCCCTCTTCCCCTACATCGTCCTCACCATATTCTTCATCCGCGGCATAACCCTGCGGGGCGCCGGCGCCGGTCTGATGCACATGTACACGCCGAAGGTGGAGAAGCTGCTGGAGCCCACGGTGTGGCTGGACGCGGCCACCCAGGTGTTCTACTCGTTCGGCCTGGCCTTTGGCTCGCTGATAGCCTTCGGCAGCTACAACACGCCGAAGAACAACTGCGTCCGCGATGTCCTGCTGGTGTCCGTTTGCAATGCGGTCACCGCCATCTACGCCAGTGTCGTCATTTTCGCCATTCTCGGCTTCAAGGCCACCATGAACGTGGATCGCTGTGTGGCAAGGTGAGTGTTGCACCTCTAGCACATTAATACAGATGGGTGGGTCATCGTCATCCAATGTTGTCCGGCTGTAACTGGCACGAGGCAGGCACCCACCCACCGATTCACCCATTCAACCATTTGCCCATCGTATTGTATCAATGGACATCATCATTTGTGTATTTGTGGGCTGCGTTCATTGATATTCGAATCGATATAGATAGAAATGTTGAATCGCGGTCGTGTCTCTGTCAATTTGTATCAATTAACGGACCCACGCTGAGTTATTGACAATTGTACTTGAACTGTCCGTCCATGCCTGTGTCTCCCAGTACCAGTACCTGTCCCTGTCTCTGTCTCTGTAACCGATTTCAACTGGTATTTGTCGCCCCCTCCCCCTCCCCTAAACAGCAACACGGAAATCCTGGTGAAGCATTCGTTTCTGGAGAACAAGAATGCGACGACTCTGGAGTACGAGCATGCGATGGACAGGCTGAACGATACGGAGAAGACCCTGTTCCAGCTGAGCGAGTGCACCCTGTCCAAGGAGCTGGACAATGTGAGTACCCTGCCGCATCCTGCACACTGTATGGGTTCATTATTGCGTTTACCCGCGCTTAGGCTGCCGAGGGAACGGGCCTGGCCTTCATTGTGTTCACCCAGGCGATTGTGGAGCTGCCGGGCGCACCCTTCTGGGCGGTGCTCTTCTTCACGATGCTGCTGTCGCTGGGACTGGGCTCGCAGATCGGCATCTTGGAGGGCATGCTGTGCACCCTCTTCGACATAGACATTATCAAGCGGGTTAAGAAGCAGCACGTCACCGGCGTGGTGTGTCTATTCTGCTTTACTGTCGGTTTCATATTCTGCACAGGTGCCGGGGAGTATTGGCTCAAGATGTTCGACTCTTTTGCCGGCACCATTGGCCTGGTGGTGGTGGCCCTAATGGAGATGATTGCCGTCATCTTTATCTACGGACACGAGCGGTGCGCATCTCCCTTTCCTTCCCCACCAAAAGGTTTCCCTTCCTATAAGTAATTTGTTTGCAGCTTCACTGAGGACATCTATCAGATGACTGGCTACAGACCCGGACTCTACTGGCAGCTCACATGGCGCTACATTGGTCCCGCCATCATGGTCTGCATTCTCGCCTCGTCGGTCGTCTTTATGGTCATCCGAAATCCCACATACGGAGCCTGGAATGCAGAATTGGTGGGTGCTTTCTTGCAAGGAGATGCCGTGCCAACTATCCTTACGCTTTTCGTGTTCATTCAGGGTGTGGTGGAGCAGAAGGAATATCCCAGCTGGGTCATGGGCATTGCCCTATCGATGATCCTCGCCGGCGTGCTGCCCATGCCCATTGTGTTCCTCATGCGCAGCTTCCAGTGCCTGAAGGTGGACCTGGACATACACCAGGGCTCGATTCGACGCAATGAGACGACCGCCTCAACCAAGGAGATGATTGACAATGACGACGATGTAAGTTCCGCCCAACATTTTCCATCACTTTCGAGCTTTCTTTATGCCATTCGGTGTGTTGTTTGAGCGTTCACATTGAACCTTCATCTAGGCTAAGATAATATGCCCAGCTCTCTCTCTCTCTCTCTCTATCTGGACAATAAGTGTAACTAATTGTGTCTTTCTCTCACCTAAAACAACATTCCTCACTCTTGCGCTTGATTTTCCTAACTGAAAATGCTTCAAACAAAAACAAAAACCCAAAATACAATCAAATCACGCTCATTGTCGTACAGAATATGAGTCCGGATATGCCACCGCAAGATTCATTAGCGGCGACACGCTTCACAATTGGAGACTTTGAAGTAAGTTGTGTCTTGTCCTGGTCAACCATTCCCCCAATACAGCCCAAAACTACCCCCACTCCCGCCACATGCAACCCCCTCCTCGCTCTACAGACACTAACGCTAATCACACAATTCTCTGCTCTTCTTTCCCCCTATGCTCCTGTGTCCACACTCATTGGTCAATGTTTAGAATTAAAATGAAATGAAACTAAAGCCTGGAAACGTTTTTAAGTGCTGCGCCTCCAGAAATTACTTAGAAAGCTAAACAGAAAAGAGAAACCAGAAACCCAGTTAAACCCTAAGATAACACTTATTGCTCATTGCAATTGCATGGCCCAAGAACACCCAGACACCCCGATCATCGATCATCGATCACCGAACTAAGGACAGTGCTAAATTTTGCACGCGCCGAGTGCCGAGAGAATGCTCATCCCTCAGATACTAAGCTACAACTACTCAATCTCAGTACCACTACCAAGAACTAATCAACGCACAGAAATTTCTCGTAGCTAGCAATCAAATCAACAAAATGCAAAATGCTTTATAGCAATTCAATATTAAGTCGGCGGGAAAGCAAAGGGCCAGGCCATGGACAATTATTTACAACAGTTATGTTTAGGGAAAAGACTAGCTAAATCGCTTGGGCAGGTCCTGAGAAGGCTCAGCTCATGAATCAGTAGGGCAATGAATGTATATAGAAAGAGGCACTGAAGAGTACTCTAATTGGTTGGCGGGCGGGCGGGCGGGCGGTCCAGCGAACAGGCAAACAGACAGACAGGTAAAGTAAACAATCCACTAACGATACGAAAACTATCATAATTTTCCATTTACTTTGTTCGTTTGTTCATTGTTTCAATGTCTCTATCCTATGGTTACTCTCAATGTGTCTCACTTGTGAATATGGGAATGCATTACACTACCCGATACGAAGAAAATGCCACTCTGTGGGGCAGTGTTATGGGTTTTATATTCCACACACATACACCATGTGATGTACCGTACTGTACGTTTGACTTTTGAGTTGTGCTTTTGAACAGCGCGCCATCTGTTGGCTGTACGTGTTGGGAGCTTTTGCTTGAACTTTCGTAGAACATCGAGTGTGTGTCTGTCGTTGGCTCATTTGACTTGTGTATTATAATTTGTACAATATTCTTGATTTCCTAGATGAATTTTACTTTTATTTTTATTCGTTCGCTCCATGTGCCCGGGTGCGCCTCCTGCTAATCCGGTTTACCCTCTTTCCAATCAGGACGATGACGATGAGAACGATTTCAGCGGACCCGCCCTGGGGGGACATGTGAAGACCCAGAGCGATGGCGACTTCTCCGACGACGACGAGGAGGACAAGCCCATGACCATGCGGATGATGATGATGCGTCCAACAACAACATCGAACGTGTTGAATGTGCCAACAAGCAGAAAGCAAAACTACAGCAAAAAGGATGCCTACGATGTGTAGAGACAGTCCAGGTGTTCAGCGACAGGACACAGAACGAACACAATGGCAAGTGAAATATTAATTAAGCTGAGTGAACGAAGGAGAGGCAAGAGTCGAGAGTTGAGCAGGAACCGTGCCGAGCTGAGCGCAAACATTTATAAATATTTACTCTAAGTATTTTAACATAATTTAATGCTAAACTAAGAAACAGAAAGAATAAACTGAAGAGTTAATTGAATTCGAGTTTTAGTGCGTAACTAAAATTGTTGAAACGTATTTAAACACACAAATTGAAGAACTAAATTTAAAACTAAACCCTAAACCCTAAACCCTAAACCAAACAAACCAACTATTTACGAGTACAATGAGCTGCTGCAGGACAAAGTTAAAGTGAAGGAGAACAGACAGGAAAGGAAAACAATTAACCTAAATGGGTTGCTAAAAGTTTCGATTTGATTATGTAGCATTTAGTTGGAATGCCCAAAGCTTTACCCTTAGACAGACACTCAAGACACACAGACAAACTGAAAGTATTTCTGGTTTCCCAGATAACCTTACCCAAAACCACAACCCATCCCCTCTAACCGCTCTTTAATGGCAAACGCTTCTTAGTAGAAGAGTTTAACTCGACATTTAGTTTAGCAGAGATTTACCTTCTGTTATTATTTGGACTTCAAGTGGAGTGCAACTATAAATCTAATCTAGCAACGGAGTTACACAAAAAGTTGAATGTTAATTCAAACCCCTATAAGAACCTTCCGTTCGAAGCTCCAACTGCGTTGAGCGAGAGATACAAGTACATAAATTATGAATACTTATTGAACCCTAGCAAAGATACATGGAATATGTGATATTCTGAATAATATCCTCGAACTTTAGTCTAAGCGAGAGACCTTAACGATTTCACGTACGTGTTAAGACTCTTCGATATCCCATGCCCCAAAACCCCATACCCCATGCCCCATGCCCAATCCCACAGACAGCCACACACCATATCTGTTCTCTCAACTCTATCCACCCACGTGTATTTTCCTATATTGTAACAACAGAACAAAACAAAACGAGAAAAATAAACTGCTGTGAATAGATTTAGTGGTGGTTAAGCTCTACTGAAGATGGAAGGGAAACCATAAAGCTAATGTTTAACTAGTTCTTAAGCGGCACAGCACACTCCACTCCACTCCACTCCAATCCACTTCAGTTCACTCCGAGATCCTCCTTTCTCTTGATTCGGCAAAGAAGAAGTAAAGGCAGCAAAAGGAATACAAAATACAGATAAAAGATGAATGAAAACTGATCAAAATACAAGGAATTCGATGTACCCAAAGTCGAAGGCAGAACACAGAACAAAACAGATTGAGCAGGTTCAAGATGTTGAAGACAATAAGACAATTCTAGAAATATAGAGAGATGCGAGAGATACAGCCCAGAGCAGAGCAGCAAAAAAACTGCTCATAAACATTAAATAGAAAATCAACTACAAAACCTTCACTTATCCAAGCCACACATCCTGATATCCTCGCAATCGCAATAGACACCGAAACCAAATACCAAATAGCAAGCCCAAGTGTATAGTTTAATTGTTTACTATTGCCACTATATATAAATACATGCATGAACCTATAAGTACTATTATACATACATACTTATATACTCTACCATAATTATTGTCGTAGTGCTAAAGACCCGAGCGAAATTGTCGCAACGGACTCGTGTAAATTTCGATTGTATTAAAAGAAAACCCAAACCCAAACCCAAACACACACTGCATAATGAGATGAATTGTAAACAATTATTATACCGTATGCAGGAAATTATGATTATGATTAATAAAGATATTTCAAGATTAGTGCGTTAAGTTGAACGAAGAGCAAGAACGAAACTCGTGTGTTTTTCTGGCTTGAACATTTCCACACTCCGCCACTGGCGTTTCATCCGTGGATGTGATTGGATTCCGCTAGATGGCAATGTTTCTTATTTTGATTAGGGATTTGTTTTTGGTTTGCCGGCCGCTGGTCAAGGCACCTTGGACCGAGAGCCAACATATTCCCGATTACGCTTATCACAGCAGGGGAAAGTTTTGTTTTGTTTTGCCATTAAAATAGCAGACAAACGATTTGACTGGCATACGACTCTTAATCTGGAAACTTTTGAATAGAGAAATTTCACAATAGTCCCAAGTTTGATATGGGCAAATGTACGCCCAACCCCCGGGGCTGACCTTGGTGATCGGTGAGCGACTTTATTGGACAGCAGCATCGTAAACGGCATTGGCCTATAAATACAATGGGTAAAGCAACTGCTGTACGCGTATAGGAGTAACTTCTGGTACCAATTGGATGATAGGGGACCTACTTGCAGTCTGGAGAGACAAATCAGAGAGGAGCAGCAGACATAAATGTGATTAGAGACTGATCCGTGCTGGCGTAACAGCAGCTTCAGCGATAAGAGTGTCTGCGGCTGTGCAGGCAATTGCGAAAGACCCCGTCCGAAGACCTGCCAGACAGGTATGCCCGAGGGGGGCGTGGCTCAGCACAGCTCAGCTCAGCTCGTGTCCGCGTCCCGTTCCGTTCCGTCGCTGGTCGTTTCTGGTGGCGCATGCAGTGGGCGGCACGTAGCAAGCGGCAACTGCAGCAGAGTCGGGCCTGGCCTGTTGTTATCTTATCAGGAGCAGAGGCAAAAACATACGTCCCCATATGTTGCTGAACCGATTCGAATCGAATCGAAGAGCAGAGCAGAGCAGAGAAAAGACACAAATCGACAAAACGACAACAGCAGAATGTTCATGCTTGTATGTTACTTGAGCACAGCGGCCGGCGCAGAGTTTCAGTTTGGATTATTGTGGCAAAGCAGAAACAAGTGCGCCGCACAGCCAAAGCTTAAGCAGAAGCAAGTTCGCTCCCTTCCCCAGAGGTTGCCACGCTCGCTACGCGTTGCACGTTGCTCGCTCTCAATCAATTTGTTAAAAGCGCAAGAAAGTTTATAAATAAGTCAATTCAAATTGAGTCTGCAATTTCATCTCATTAAGAGTCGGCAAAAAAAGAAACGGCAGCGGAACGAAATAAATTAATTAAAGCAACCATCAAATTGCAAGTGCGCGAGGGCCACCACCCCCCCTGCAGACCCGCAGCAGTCCCAAAGAACTAGCAGAATGCTCCTCAAAGGCGTGCAGCTGCTGAGAGGCGGGTGAGTCTGGTGATGTGGAAACGTTCACCGTTTAAGATGCAGAAGAAGGTCGATAATTGTTAAGTACTGCCATGGAGCAGTAGCTCACCCACTTAATGCGTAACCAGCTACAGATTTGCACATCATGTGGCATTGTGTGATCCACTTGTCTTACACGCCTCGCCTTGGCATTGATAATCACACTCTGCAACCTACCCCAACTAGAATTTGATAGTTCGACTTCCCTTGATCGCTCTTATCGCATGGGAGGAAAATGCCACGTCGAGCAAGCAGCAGAGCAGCGTCGTCATGATGCATCCCCTTCATCCGCAAAGTGAGCCACCGCAACAGACACATCAATGTTAATGCCATCCATTCGCAGCGACAAGATCAATGCACCCGAACGACAGAATCTGCAGCTGAAAAGCTTCTGCTCTTCTCGCGATAAAGCTCAATATTAGCTAGGGTGTAGATTAAGCATGTGTAATTATTAATTTATTGTAATACGAGTGTGTTATTCTGTGAAGATGTTCAATTTGGCCAAACGATCACTGGCGTAATATAATTAGCCACCAGTGTAAAGCTCTTCCGATCGCTCATCCAAGACACAAACCAATCAAACCGAAAGCTTTTCTACTTACACCACACACAAACCTGCTGCTGATTTTATTGTTGTTTTCACTCTTCAGATCCGTTACACACACACTTTTAATACTCTTACAGAAAGTGTACATATCAATGGGTAAATAAATATATCTGTACAATGCCAAGGCATTGCTAGGGTATCCAAGCTTCGACCAAGCTTTAATTCTTTTTCGTTTATTATGATTGCCGTTTTGTTGTGACTCGTTTTCTTTGTGCTGTGCTCTTTGTGTTTCTGCTTCTGCTTCTCCGTGTGCTTAACTAATCAGACGAAATAAAAACAAAGCGCTGCATGTGTGGGTGCTTTTGGGGCCACATGGCAACAAGTGGATTGGCCTGTTGCTGGCGGTTTCTTTTGTGGCTTCTGTTTTGATGGCCGATTCATGCGAGTGGCGTGTTTCAGCAGCAAGTTTCTTGGTGGTAGGTAGGGGAACTCATAACTGCACCAGATAATTCCAATTCCAACTGCTGCCATTGTCTACATATTCTGATTGAGGTATCCGTATCCGCCAGATACTTTTGCCGATTCCCAGTGACAGCTTTGTTTTGAGCAACTTCTGCCTGCCATCGATGATAACCTTTAGACACAGCGACGACGAACAGAACAGCAATGACAACGACAACGACAACGACACCGGCGGAGTGGCAAAGACAACAACACAAATATTATTGTTGACGCTGCTGAATGGGAGTCTAGGATTGCTGGGGGGCTCGGCCCCTCAATAACAAATCGCATTTCTTATGCATGCGCTACACAAATCAAAATATTTTTAAATATCTATCGCTCTTATGTACAAGTGTCTAGTAGGTTCCTCTTGTATGCTTATGTACCGTGCAGGCACGCGCCTTCCTGCCCATTCGCCTAATTGCCACCTAATTCCACTCGCTCATCGATCAAAGAATTTTGGGGCCATAGATACCTAGCAACATGGCAAATATGCTTGTAGCCTACTGTGATTCCATTATCAGTTAATTGTTTGTTTACTACGTAGTGCCACAATTCCAGGAAATTTCAGACAGCCCCCTCCCTGCCTAGCCCTAGTTAAGATTATTTGTGGGGACATGGGCATAGGCATGATGACGCTTCGCTTGATGATGATCCCAAATGGCCCCTGAGTCATTCATTCCATTCAGCAATTGCTTCAGCTGTAGTCAAGCAGCGCAGATTCCATTACATAGTCCAGGGTTCCATGGAAGAGACTAGACCCACATTAGGGAGCTGCGTGTGTCCATTACTTGTACATGTTTAATCTACACACACCAGAGCGTGGGCCGTCTGGCCTTATCAGCTGGTAAACAAAATTCAAGCGAGTCGTTGCCTTTCCATGGACTTTGATATGCGGTAATGAGCTTGTTCTATTTCAGCAAACTATCCCCAGAGTCGCTACCAATTGATTCCAGTTCCAACCGGGTTCTCCTGTATCAGTTTCTGCCCAGTGCCGCAGTAATATGAATCGCGACATTCGACGCATGGTGGTAACAGTTAGCTTCGCGAAGGGTATACATACATATGATGAATTTGATATTTTTAGAAATTTCCTAATCCTCTGTGGCACGTATTTTTCTTTTCAATAAATAATACACAGTATACATGACGACGATCCGAATGGGCCAGTGGAAATGTTTCGAAACGTCAGCCGCAGTTTCAGAGCAAAGATAAGATACGAGCATTTCCTCGTGATCGGCTCTCACGTCACTGTTACATTGTCAGAAATTCGATTAACCTAAAGAAATTCGTCTTTATCTCATTGGGGGTGTGTAACCACCCAATCTTAAGGCGAACTTTAGGCTGAGGGTCAAAGCTGAAGCCAGTCTCCAGAACCACTCCGGGTACAGTTCCGTTTTCGTATCTTTTACATATTTATCTCGTTTTGTTGTGGAAAATCTGTTGAATCAGTTGACATGCTAAAGTTCTGTTGCCATGTGTGGGAACATACATACATAAACTATATGTTTGTGCATTTGTATCACTTTTTATACATCTTTCCATATAAAAACTGATACAAATGAACTGAAGGAAACACGCGCTGGGGTAAAAATAAAAGAAAAAGGAACCACAGCTTTCACTTCTGAAGAATTGTCTTTGTCAGGGGAAATAAACTGCGAGATGGAGAAACAGAGAGGAGAAGCGAAGCGGTCAACCAACATCAGTGGCGTCATGGGGACAGCACTAAGAGAGCGAACTGGCTAGTTCGCGCTCCCATTCCACTACGCAGAACTGTGCTCTGCTATCGCCCGAAATAGACCTCCGGCTACGCAGCAAAAACGGCTGTCCAGGGGCAGGCGCGTGGCCCTAATCAAGTGCCGGAAAAGTCGAGTGCTGCCCAAATAATTAGCTGCTAATAGTGTCAACAACGATCTGTACTTGGCGCGCTGATAGTCCGCATTAATGTGGACCGAAGCGGTTTGGCGATGGTTATCAGAGTCCCGCGAGCCGTGCCGTGCCGTGCCCCAATAAATAATTCATACTCGCCAAACTTGTTCTATTTGGCTAGCCAGATCTAGTGGCACTTAAAATGCAGATAAAACCCAGACAAAGGCCACCAAATACGTAAATAAACAAAGTTTAGTCTGCCAAATGTGGAGTAAATATCAGTCTATTGGCTTTAATTTGTAATTGGCCATTAATGCTTTTGGCCCAGAATTGGCACAGGCAAGGGCAGTCATGGGCAGTTATCATTCACCTCACTGGCAGACATCTCTTATGACATCTCTTTACTATAGAAACCAGGCCACGCGGCAAAGGGAACTGCGCAGTTCCGAAACAATAAAACAAATGTACAAATGTATGTATACATACATGTACATATGTATTCGTATGCATGTACATTTATTTGGGTGTATTTCTTCAGCTAGACAGTCGCTGTCTGGCTGTGACGTCACGGCCGGAGGGCAGCCCTGAACGCGTGTAAACTTATCGTGCGGGTGGGGAGGGCGAGAGGTTCGGTGACTTGCCGTGGACTTTGCACCGTGTAAACCATCAGTGAGCAAGTGAAAGAGAGCGCGAGAGAGCGCGCGGCTCTTCATTGTGTCTCCACTTATGTATGTATGTATGTATGTATGTTTGTAT